ACAGCGATACAACTGTATTTGGCTGACCTACATTGTGAATGTCGAACAGAACATTCTGTTCTACATTGAGGTTTGAGGCTGTGAGATGCTATCTCTATGTGGAAAGCTGACTTGGAGATGGAACGTTTTGTTTCGATTACGTTTTGTATTCAGAAGAAGGTTGTACAGAATACCTTATGTGAACCACTTCGTTCGTGAGAAGCTAACGCTTATATTAGCGTTACCTGTTAGCTAGCTGGTTATTCACGTTTGGATGAGAATCAGTTTGCTTTGAGAACTTTTGGAAGTGTTTCAATCCTTTTGAATTCACCTAGTGGAAAAGTGAATTTGTAGATTTGTAGCAGCTGGAATTGTTTCAACAAACCTTTATTTGAAGAACCTGAGGTTTGTCAACTGGAAACCTAGAATCGAGTTTACCAGTTGAGACATCGGCTCAAGGGAGTGGTGTCAGAAGTTCATTTAATGAACAAGAGCCGCTGTGTCACTTAACTTGACATAAGACAGACCGACAGAGGGAGCACCTTCCCTTTTCCTTGTTGTTTTGTTCTTTGTTTCTTTGTTTGTTGTGTTTGTGTTTCCCTGTGACTGGTCGTGTTGCGTCTGGAGCGAAAAGAAGGAGTCCGACGTCAGCATGTGGGAGTCGAGGGTGAAACAGTTTTCTTGACACGACAGTGTGCTAGTTTAATTAGGTTTGCGACTACACGCTCTGCGCTTGTGTTTGGTGTGCGTGTTTGACGTACGCGTCTGCCTGCGTAGTCCTGTAGGAATTTTGATGAAGCGTTGGATCTGACCGCAGATCTGTGCACGGCGCTTTTTCACAGAAGTGAGCTCTTTGATGAAGTCAAAGAGCTCAGAAGGAAGAGGAAAGAAGGAATGATGAAATCACTTCCTTCGACCGAGAAATCCAGAAGGGACGAACTTGATTGGTCCGTGGTGACCCGAAGACGTCGTTGAGGGGGATGCAAGTGAAGGCGCTTCGGTTCTATGCATTAGGACGGAAGAAGCTGCCAGAGTCAACCTCCTTGACTTGACTTTCGGGCACTCGGCCAATTAAAGGAAAAGACAAAAGGAAGAGCATAATATCAAGTCCGAGGGATTGAGAGTATGAAACGGGTATGTATTACCCAGGATTAAGATTCTGTTCATGGAAAAGATGGTAACGTAGCGGCGTATACATGGATTCGCGTGGAGAAACTGGCCGAAAGGATTTTGGCCAGTTTCAAGTAAGGGTGTACTGACCGGGTGTCACGCGGGTGGACGTGTCCATCGAAGTGGGACAGCAAGGGCTGTACCTCCCGTTGCGTCAAGGTGCTGCTAACGTATTTAACAGCACCTCCGTCTTGGGATAGTATTTCCCTAGTAACATCGCCGAGTCGTCACCGAACAAACTCGCGTTGTGGTTTCCAAACAAGAAACGCACCTTTAGGTTTTCCACGTTACGATACCATGGGAATGTAGTTTCAAAGTGTGTATGACTTGCTACCCCGGGCCTGCTTATGACACGGAGATTCTTTTGACAGATGTGGAACAGCCAAAACATTTATTAACTTATGATCTCGGCTTAGCCGAAACTGATGCGACGTGGCACTCGCGCTTAATGACGTTTGCCAATATGCGTGTTATTAAAAAATATGCGCATCAGGCAACAGAAAGCCGAATCACGGCGCCGAGAAAAGTGGCAAGAAAAGAATGTCGCGTAGATGCAGAACAGACAGGACCACAGGGAAGTCTAGAACGAGAAACGCGACAGAGTTCCACCTCTGCGTCGAGATACATTCCGAAATACGGATACTCGACATCAGAGCAAAGAAAGATCCGCGAGCCGAAATCCCGGCCGAGATCGCTCCTCTCCAAGACAACCACGTACACCTCCGCGACCACCACCTCAATCTCCATCACCTAGACGCACACCAGAGCCAGCTCGAAGTTCTGGATACCATCGCGGTAGCACGCCTCCATGGCGTGAACATGAGGAGAGAAGACAGCGCTCTGAGAATCCTCCGAGACGCAGAACCCGGAGCCGGAGCCGAACCCATAACCGGTCAACCCAGGGAGCATTTTGGACTAACACTGGCCGGCATTCGCGCTGAGACGTGCCTGACGTGCCAGAACCACCGGCGCCACCACCGATAAGACAAACAGGCGCGCAATGGCTTAATTCCGGAGCGTGGCAAAACGATCCAGCTCCACCTACGAACCGAAATTCCGGTGGAAATTATTTTCAACCGCCATATTTTCGACAGAATCCAAACAACAGCTCAGTAGCATACATGCCGGGATACCAAGTCCCGTATGACAGATGGATTCAAAACCGCGACGGAACCTGGCTCGACCTTGTTCCGCAAACCCCTGATCAGTCCATATATTTTAACCAGCCGTCATGGCAACGCCGTCAGAATGAATTATGGCTGTACGGCTATACTTGTACGATGGGTCGTTAAAATTAGCCGAAACCTGGCATGAATTGATCCCAAGTATATGGCATTATCAGTAAAGAACGGGTCGTTATTACGGCCAGAAGTAGCATTTTCATGTTTGTCTTCGCACACGTTTCACTGCAGAGCATAAGCTGAGCGTTCCTTATGCAAGTTCAAAAGTTTTGCTGCATGTTCCGACACGAAAAAAAGTTGTGTCTGTTTTGTAACTTACTTTAGGGGACGTGTCTACACAATGCAAGACAGTTTGCAAACAGGTGACATGTTCCTTTTAATTTATATACCACTGCGCCACTCAGTGGCTCCAGACTTGCTTGCGTAGCAGGAAAACAGGAAAACAGAGTGTAGCGCGCCGCCGCGTTGACCACAAGTGTTCTAACGACTTAGTCTAGATCTAGGGCCCCTGAACCCCAATCCCCCCCTCATATAGCATGTATAATCATGTAGATATTATATATATATACATACACACATTCACAGCAGTTTGTATGTACAAATTGTGTCCGTAAATACTCCCTGCTCGAACCCTAACCAACCTGAAACAAATTCTAAATAGACAATAGACCCTAAACAACACCAAAATAAAACTTAAATCAACCCAAACTACTTTAAATGAACCCGAAACCAACCCTTAATCAACCCTAAACAAACCCTAAGTAAATCCTAAGCCAGCACTATGCTAACATCCATTGAAACTATTCAGACCCAACCCGTGCGTTTTCCCACAGGTAAAACCGCGTGACTTCATCCGGTATGAAAGTTGCTGCCAGCGTTTTCCTTTTTTCTCCTTCCTGCAGGCTGCATGCAAAATCAAGTCAAAAGCCAAGGCATCACACGAGTTTAGAATTTTAGCACTCTCGTATGATGTGAAACTGAGCTGCTGCGACTGTCAGGCTGGACCGACAGCAGCCATTGGCCCGCTGGCTCTCTCATGTACGAGCTGGGATCATTGCTTTGTGACTGGATTGCTTTCTTTCCCTCTTTACAACGGCTTGGAATCAAGGAGGGGTCCCGTCAGACTTTTGTGAGAGTATATCCTCTGTAGGACCAGGATGATTTGCTGTTCCGGCGGTTGCTAAGGTATTGACGACGCAGCGAAACTCCCAAACCATTTTGTCACTGACATTGAATCTTGCCTGGGCAGTGGCTTTGCAGTGGCTGTGCAGTGGCTGTCAAGTGTTCGGCTGCTGTTGCTTTGGTTGCTTGTGGTTGCTTGTGATAGTGATTGCTTCCAATTAGTTGCTTCTGGTTGCTTCTGGTTTGTTGTGGTTGCTTGTGATTGTTTTTTCCTGTGAAAATTTCACATGGCAACATGGCAAGACAAGAAACAATTTTCCCTTAACATTCACTGCCTCAACAGTTTGGCCAAAGGAGAAGATTGTTCAAGACTGTGTTTTGCTATGTCCCGATGGCGTGGCTGATGCCCTTCCAGGTTTCGCAGGGTTCCAAAAGGATTTTTTTGGTGCTGTGTTTTGTGGGTTTCGACATTTAAAATGTGCTGGACACTGAACGCGCATGGAAAACTAGTAATAACAGTTTGGCAGGAATTAGCAATTGAGTGAGATGAAAGAGTGGTTGAGTTGTCGATCTTCGAGTCAGTTGAGTGTCTTGACAGGCGAAGTTCTCCACGACGCTGGCCAGAATCCCATCGTTGCTTCTTCCATTGGCAAGTCGCAACACACCCAGGTTTCGAAGGTGCCATGAGAACGTGAGCACATCAAGTGAGCGGCAAGCAGCAATGAATTTCCAGAGAACCAAATTATCTCAGTAATCTGCCCACTTCTTACACGCAGGCCTCCGTAGAGGATTTTCCGCTGATGAAACAGCAGCAGTCGCCACGGTGGTGTTCGAAACTGGACGCATTTGTGGACATTGTTCAGGTCAAGTGCTGAGTTCGTCAGCGTCCAAAGAGGGCTATGGCTATGTATGGTTTAGTGAAAAGCAGGGAGTTCTGAACTTGTTTGTCTCAGGTAGGGAAGGACAAAGATGCGTTCTTCGTTTGCGTGCGGACAAGGACCGCCACGCTTCCAAAATGAAAGCGAGATGAAAAAGCATCTAAACATACCAAACCTGCTGCTGCTGGGTTGTTTGGTTGCTTGGTTTGTGTGTCTGACTTGACCAGGACACCAAATTCAAAGCCTGTCTTGGACTTCTTGGTTCAACTGCGTCTTGAATACCTCAGAAGCTTTGGCCGTGCAGTGGACTTCAACTGTACCTGTCATGCTTCTGCCGCTTGTCTGCAAGGCCAGGTTTTCCGTTCTGGGAAGGAGCTCGAAAAATGCGCGGCTTCAGAATAGACTACGGGAGACAAAGTCCGTGCATCAGTGTGGAACGCTTCATGCATCTGTGTTGTGGTGATCAGCATGATTTCGATTTGTCGGAAGCCCCTCAAATAGACCCAGCTCTGAAGAAGTTGAGCTTTGTCTTCCAGTCTAGCTTATCACATCTTATAATTGTAGAGCTTCGCACACCGGCGATGCCTGTAGGGGTCGGGGGAGGGAAAGAGAGAGGGGGATTTCATCTGAACTAGGTAAGAATCGTCATTGTCGTCGTTGTCGTTGTCGTCGTCGTCGTCGTCGTCGGCGTCGTCGTCGTCGTCGTCGTCGTCGTGGTCGTGGTCGTCGTCGTGGTCGTGGTCGTGGTCGTGGTCGTGGTCGTGGTCGTGGTCGTGGTCGTGGTCGTGGTCGTGGTCGTGGTCGTGGTCGTTGTGGTTGTGGTTGTGGTTGTGGTTGTGGTTGTGGTTGTTGTTGTTGTTGTTGTTGTTGTTGTTATTGTTGTTATAGCTTATCTAAGATTTGAAAGGTATGCTTTCATATGGTTCTATCTTATGCCAGAGGTTCGTGGCGGTTTAAGGTGGCAAGTTTGGTGGCAAGTTCGGCGGCGGTGGCAGTTAGATATGTGGGTGGCAGTTTCAGTGGCAATGAAGAGTTGGTGGCAAGCTTGATGGCAGAATGTGATGGCAAAAATGGTGGCAACCGTATTTTGGTGGCAAAGGGGGTGGCAACTTTGCATGGCAAAAATTGAGCCGGAAGTTTAGCAATCACATTTTGGCGGCAGCAGAAAGGTTGCAAACACCTTCAGTCACAAAAAGGCGTTGAGTGTACATGGCACATGTTGATAGAAAGGGTGTGAGAGACTTTTTGGCGGCAAATGGGGTGGTAAGTTGATGGCAAAAGTGCTGGCAAAATTTGGTGCTACATCAGCTGACAAAAATCATGCCAGCCCTATTGCACCTTCAGCGGAGGCGACACCCACCGACCCTATGAATAAAACAAGAATCCAAGCAAATATGAAAGGCTGGCATGTTGTTTTCAACTATCCCTTTGCTGGTGGCGCAAGAGCAGGTTTAGCCCAGCGCACGCTGGTCCTTTCAAGACAATCCGCACTAGTTTTTGGTTGCCATCATTGCCCGTCAAAAAATAAGGCCTATTTTTGTCAAAAATAAGGCTTATTTTGGCAAAAATCGACCTTATTTCTTGACGGGCAGGTGGGCAGCTGCCTGGGCAAAATTTTGCTCAACATTTTTTCTGTGCCCCACAATGTTCCAGCATGGCTTAGACACAGAAAACCGTTAGACAAAAACACAACCGAAAGGCAATTGCTGACCAAGTGAGCTGTAAACACAACAATTTCTGAGCACTAAGTTTGATCATTCGACACCACAACAATCTGATTGAACATGTTCACTTGCTTTGCATATGACACAATTTCAGAAGCCGCTTGTGCAAACCAACGGCTGCATACAATATCCTGTGGCCATGCAATGAGCCATCTGCTTTTCCCACTTCCGCGTCCAGTCTTTAGCCCTTGCCACAATTTTTGCCATAGCTTTGCTACCTGTGTTGCTATTGCTTTTGCCCGCAATGAAGTTTGCGCTTTCGTTGCCGCGTGTGTTGCCAAGGGCTTTTGCTCGCAACCCAAATTTTGCCATTGAATTTGCCGCCCGTGCTTTTACCCCCGCCACGTATTTGCCAGTGTTTTTTGCCACCGATGTTGCCATTACCTTTGCCCCCGTCGGTTTTTTCCATCCATGTTGCCCTGCAGATTGCCACCGCCATTGCCATTGCCATTGCTTTTGCCCTCGAGGTTGCCATGCTTGTTGCCATTAAATTAATTTGGGCGCCTAATAGAGCATTGTTCTTGAATTTTAAATAAGTTATAGCTGTTGCTGCTTGGTCCTGTTGTCGTTGTCGTTGTTATCTTTGTAGATGATTGTTGAAAAAACCACATCAGAGAGGATGCGAAAGGCCAAACGCTTTAACAACAAATGCCTATGGCCAGAGGGCTGGTCAATGCTGCCGCGAAGCACTTTACGGGTTTGACGCCTGGCAATCGGCAGGCTTGAACGCCCAAAGAACAGATGGCTACGGAGGCAAACGGCACGCTTGAACGCTCTAACAACAAATGCCATGCCTATGGCTAGAGGGCTGGTCAACGCTGCCGCAAAGCATTTTACGGGTTTGACGCCTGGCAATCGGCAGGCTTGAACGCCCTAAGAACAGATGGCTATGGCTATGGAGGCAGACGGCACGCTTGAACGTGTAACAACAAATGCCTGTGGCCAGAGTGCTGGTCGAAGCTGCCGCGAGGCATTTTACGGGTTTGACGGCTGGCAAACAGCACGCTTGAACGCCCTAAAAACAGATGACTCTGAAGGCAATCGCCAGGCTTGAACGCACTAATAACACCTAATAACAAGAAATGCTTGCGACCAGAGGGCCTGGTCGAAGCTGCCGCGAAGCATTTTACGGGTTTGAGGGCTGGCAAACGGCAGGCTTGAACGCCTAAAAACAGATGACTCTGAAGATCTCTGAAGGTGATTCTGAAGGTAGATGGCAAGCTTGAATGCTCTAACAACAAATGCCTGCGGCCAGGGGGCCTGGTCGAAGCGGCCGCAAACCATTTTACGGGTTTGAGGGCTGGCAAACGGCAGGCTTGAACGCCCTAAAAACAGATGACTCTGAAGGCAAATGGCAAGCTTGAACGCTCTAACTACAAATGCCTGCGGCCAGAGGGCCTGGTCGAAGCTGCCGCGAAGCATTTTACGGGTTTGAGGGCTGGCAAACGGCAGGCTTGAACGCCCTAAAAACAGATGACTCTGAAGGTCAATGCCAAGCTTAAACGCTCTAACAACAATTGCCTGCGGCCAGAGGGCCTGGTCGAAGCTGCCACGCAGCAGTTTACGGGTTTGAGGGCTGGCAAAAGGCAGGCTTGAACGCCCTAAAACTGCTGCGAAGCATTTTACGGTTTTGAGGGGTGGCAAACGGCAGGCTTGAACGCCCTAAAAACAGATGACTCTGAAGGCAAACGGCAGGCTTGAACGCTCTAACTACATATGCCTGCGGCCAGAGGGCCTGGTCGAAGCTGCCGCAAACCATTTTACGGGCTTGAGGGCTGGCAAACGGCAGGCTTGAACACCCTAAAAACAGATGACCCTGAAGGCAAATGGCAAGCTTGAACGCTCTAACTACAAATGCCTGCGGCCAGAGGGCCTGGTCGAAGCTGCCGCGAAGCACTTTACGGGTTTGAGGGCTGGCAAATGGCAGGCTTGAACGCCCTAAAAGCAGATGACCCTGCAGGCAAATGGCAAGCCTGAACGCTCTAACAAGAAATGTTTGCGGCCAGAGAGCCTGGTCGAAGCTGTCGCGAAGCATTTTACGGGTCTGAGGGCTGGCAAACGGCAGGCTTGAACGCCCTAAAAACAGATGACCTTGAAGGGAAACGGCAGGCTTGAACGCTCTACGCTCTAACAAATGCCTGCGGCCAAGCTAGATGACTCTGAAGGCAAACGGCAGGTGCGAGCGGCCAGAGGGCTTGGTCGAAGCTGCCGCGCAGCATTTTACGGGTTTGCGGGCTGGCAAACGGCAGGCTTGAACGCCCTAAAAACAGATGACCCTGAAGGTGACTGTGAAGGCAGATGGCAAGCTTGAACGCTTTAACAACACAATGACTGCGGCCAGAGGGCTTGGTCGAAGCTGCCGCAAACCATTTTACGGGTTTGAGGGCTGGCAAACGGCAGGTTTGAACGCCCTAAAAACAGATGACTCTGAAGGCAAATGGCAGGCTTGAACGCTCTAACTACAAATGCCTGCGGCCAGGGGGCCTGGTCGAAGCTGCCGCGAAGCATTTTGCGGGTTTGAGGGCTGGCAAACGGCAGGCTTGCACGCCCTAAAACTGCCGCGTAGCATTTTACGGGTTTGAGGGCTGGCAAACGGCAGGCTTGAACGCCCTAAAAACAGATGACTCTGAAGGCAAACGGCAGGCTTGAACGCTCTAACTGCAGATGCCTGCGGCCAGAGGGCCTGGTCGAAGCTGCCGCGAAGCATTTTACGGGTTTGAGGGCTGGCAAACGGCAGGCTTGAACGCCCTAAAAACAGATGACTCTGAAGGCAAATGGCAAGCTTGAATGCTCTAACAACAGATGCCTGCGGCCAGAGGGCCTGGTCCACGAAGCATTTTACGGGTCTGAGGGCTGGCAAACGTTCAGGCTTGAACGCCCTAAAAGCGGATGACCCTGAAGGCAAATGGCAGGCTTGAACGCTCTAACTACAAATGCCTGCAGCCAGAGGGCCTGGTCGGAGCTGCCACGAAGCATTTTACGGGTTTGAGGGCTGGCAAAATGCAGGATTGAACGTTCTAAAAACAGATGACTCTGAAGATCTCTGAAGGTGATTCTGAAGGCAGATGGCAAGGTTGAACGGCCTAACAACAAATGCATGCGGCCGGAGGGCCCGGGTTTGAGGGCTGGCAAAGAGCAGGCTTGAACGCCCTAAAGCTGCCGCGAAGCATTTTACGGGTTTGAGGGCTGGCAAACGGCAGGCTTGAACGCCCTAAAAACAGATGACTCTGAAGGCAAACGGCAGGCTTGAACGCACTAACAAGAAATGCCTGCGGCCAGAGGGCCTGGTCAAAGCTGCCGCGCAGCATTTTACGGGTTTGAGGGCTGGCAAACGGTAGGCTTGAACGCCCTAAAGACAGATGACTCTGAAGGCAAACGGCAGGCTTGAACGCTCTAACTGCAGATGCCTGCGGCCAGAGGGCCTGGTCGAAGCTGCCGCGAAGCATTTTACGGGTTTGAGGGCTGGCAAACGGCAGGCTTGAACGCCCTAAAAACAGATGACTCTGAAGGCAAATGGCAAGCTTGAACGCTCTAAGCTGCCGCGAAGCATTTTATGGGTTTGAGGGCTGGCAAACGGCAGGCTTGAACGCCCTAAAAACCGATGACTCTGAAGGCAATTGGCAGGCTTCAAGGCTCTAACTGCAGATGCCTGCGGCCAGGGAGCCTGGTCGAAGCTGCCGCGAAGCATTTTACGGGTTTGAGGGCTGGCAAACGGCAGGCTTGAACGCCCTAAAACAAACGGCAGGCTTGAACGCTCTACGCTCTAACAAATGCCTGAGGCCAGAGGGCCTGGTCGAAGCGGCCGCAAGGCATTTTACGGTTTTGACGCCTGGCAAACGGCACGCTTGAACGCCCTAACAACAATGGCTCTGGAGGCAAACGGCAGGCTTGAACCTACAAAAACCAGTTCCACACCTGGTGGCCCCAGGCGCTGCCCGTGCCTTGGCCAAGGCCGGGGTCGGCGGATTACCATAGGGTTGCTTTTAGCGTTCCTCTCATTTCTTCCCCCATGTTATACATCCCAGGCCGATGTCTTTATCTCCCTTTCCTGGTCACATTCCTCATCAGTCATTATGTGCGCTGGTCCACATAAATTAAACATGACAGTGCTCCTAGTTTCTAGAGACTCTGGGTTCTGGGTCCTGTATGCTTTTGTCAAACTGTCGGTGGTGTCAACAACTTGTTGCAAGCTTGAGCTGACGACCGGAGCAACACATTTCCACAAGTGCAGCTGAGGTTACTGGGGAGTACTATGTGAATTTGGCACCTGTTGCCTGCATGCGGAAGATCAAAGTCCCTGTCGGAGAGGGCTGCTTAGGTTCCTGGGATTCCTTTGTGCTTCATGACACTTACAATCAATTGCAATCAAGTGCAACCAAGTGCAATCAATCGCAATCAATTGCATACAATTGGCACCGGAAGAGACATGACATTTTAACTTTCCCCAGATCTGCCCAAAGTTGCCTAGTTACTGCGCAATAGGGCAGCAGCACAGACGAGACATTATGTGGAGCCATGCAGCGGCCAAACATGTGTGCAAGGAGAAAAACAAAGAAACTCCTGCACGTGTGTCGATCAACATGAGATCCCACTTGATCCCAAGACGGGCTGTGATATGTGTCCTTTCATCATCCGAGTACAACACGTTGCAAAACGGAAACGAAAATATGCAACTTTGATCAACTTTGCAAATTTTGCAAGCGCAATGAGGTTTAGACTTCGACTATCTGAATCCTGAACTCCGAGAGACAGTAACGCAACGTGGCCTTCCTGTGGCTACAGTGGACTCATCACAGGGAAAAGGACGGGGAAGGTATGAAACGGTGAAACACGGTGAAACATTCCTATATAGACCACACAGGTCCTTCAGACCTTGATGTGACGTTTCATCGTACCAAGCTGAGGAGAAACAAAAAGAATGTGTGGTCACTTGTGACTAGTTGGCCCCTTTGATGTCTTGCAAGTTCAATGGCATCTTAGGTGTTCTGCCCACGTAGAGTTTTCCGAGAGGGCTTGAGCTTTCTAGCCGAGATTCCTGAGCACGGAGATGATAGAGACATGCCCATACAAGTACTTCAATAATCTTAAATAATCTTAAATGATCTTCAATAATTTTAACTAATCTTAAATATATACTTATATATGAGGAGGTATATCTTACCATATGTCATTAGTTTATATTGTGTGTGTCTTAATCCTTCTCGATGACGAGTCCTTCAAGTGAATAGATAGCAACGGCACACGTGATAAGTTTTTTTTTGGATCTGTTACCTCAACTAAAGACATTGTCCTTCATATGAATGGCAACGACATGCACACGGAATAACATGGATAAACACTTCTTCTTTCTTCCCTTCTCCCTATCTTTGTGTCCTCTGTGCATGTTCCCTCTCACAGTGAAACCCCGCATATGTGCACATGCACGTCTATGTCGGCGAGCCCCACCGTTCTCAAACTATTGCTCTTGCCTTTGTGGGGCATGCCCTGATGTGCGGTACATGACATTTTCACAAGGCTTGCATGTTATAGTATGTTACTGCTACAGAACCCAGCATGTGTATTTTCCAGTCAGTGTAATTACTGTGAAGGATCTTCTATAAGAGTCTTGTCTAGCAATTAGTCAGGAGAGAGATGAATCTGCAGAGCTGGGTAAAGAGGGGAACTGCAGATTCAGATTATTGTAGGGAACTTTCTCTACTGCATAGCTGTACCCTGCCAAACTAGCGGTCTTCTGGTTTCCTTTCCCACTGTCCCCAAATTAACGAGATGTTGGAAGCTCGCAGGAAATCTGCATGCAAGTTCAGCAGAATGCTGGAGAGGTTGCTTGGAAGGGCGATCTGTTCTGACTCGATTGCAGCTTGGTCGATCTCTTCTTTTTATTTTGTCGCGGGACTCTGTCACTTGTTTTCTTTGATGGACTTTCCACTTTATTCTGAGATTTGTTCACCCTTAACCTGCTCAGACAATCGCGGTTGAATGTAAAGGTACGACTTCAATCGAAAACCTGGATCTTTGCCTATCGCGCAACGCATGATTGCGAAGCTGTTTCAATAGCTCTGAAAGCTGTCGCCCTCCTCTTTCTTTCTGGTCTTTGAAAAGAAGCCAAGTTTTCCCAGAGGAGCTCGGCTCGCGAGTCAGATTTTCGTATGAAAAATTCTTGCCAATGTGTTGCAACTGTTAGAATGTAACCGTCTTGGATTTCTTGGATGGATAGCTTGGTGGAAGGCACTGGAGCATAGAACATCATAGAACATTTGTATACATTTGTTACAACTTGTTGTGGGTTGTGAATTGTTGTGAATGCTTTGCTTACAGTCGGCCTATCCATTCTTCCACAGACGTGTTGCAGTTTGGCAGCGGGACCTAGCCAGAGGTGCTTGTGATGGTACTTTGTTAAAGCACCAGAAGATACATCGAGATATTCGGGACTCAGAGACTCATAGACTTATAATGACTTATAGATATATCACAGTGATTTACAGTGCATATCGCCGCGTGCTCATGAGCATGGAGCCACAGTATGGTGACCAAGGGGCTTGACCCTGGGAGAAGGCTGCCAACCCAAAGTTTCGCTTCTGCATTGACTTGGGAGCTATGCATAGCTATGCGATAAAGAGGGGAAAAACATGGAAAAACACAAAGAAAACCTCTTTGGCTGTGCCGACTGTCACTTATGTTCATTCCGAGCTTGATCCAGTCAAGTCCGACCCATGGTCTACTTGGAGTGATTTCGTTTACGGCCGCTCTCGAAGGGAGCTAAGGTCCGTGAGTTATATAGACGCGTGGCAGCAATTGAAACGCAAAGAAAAGCAGAGCCTCGAGCGAGCAGTGTGTTTCTCATTTTTCTCAATTCCTGCAAGAAAGGAAGCTTGAGGCTGAAGCTGTGCTCAATACATCGCTCAATGCTTTTAGACATGTGCCATGTGCTGGCCGAACTCGTAAGCAGGGTCAATTTGCATAAATTATCCACTGCATCACTCAGTAAAATATTTCAGGCAAGAAGTTCTTGGAGTCAGTTTCGTTCTGAACATTCCACATCAATATCTTGTAAGGTGCTGGAGAAATGACGCAAGAGGGTCAAATGTGGGGATGTAGGTGACGTTAACTTGTTGGCAGACTGATTCAGACAGATGACAAAGTTACTGCAAAGTCGAAGATGGTGGCCACAAAGCTTGGCTGCCTGGCCACAAAGCATGGCCATTTTGCAGGAGCCAAGTTCGCTGCAAACTTCAGCACTACTTGCCACTACCCTCTCATGACTTGAAAAGCTGCATTTGTTTCTAACAACTTTGAGGAACCCGAGGAATCCCTGACTTTTGCTGCCGCTCGCTTCATTGCAGGCGTGCTTTGGACTCTAGACATCGCTAGACATCTCTAAACATGTTAAATGTTAACCGAGACTTTTGCATGCATTTTGGCATTCATTTTGGTTGTCAAGACCTTTTCCATCTTTGCACCTGGGTTGTATGCATGTTTCTCATTGTTTCTCCACTTTTTTTTCCGCTAGATGTGTTGCAACCCCAACATGTTGGATATGGTTAGATTGAGTTCAATGGGCTTGGCAAAGTGCATTGTATGGCAGGAGCTTTGAAGGGTGAGCATGCGCAGGGAGCGCAGTATGCCTGCACTCTTCATGACTTGGCAGCCCAGGCAGACGTGGAGCGCGTTAGTTTGGTAGTTAGTTGGCTCTTCGGGGACTCTTCCGTTTGCGTTTGAAGAAGATGGCCCCTGGCACTTCCAACGAAAGCCATCCGTATTTGATCGAATCGTTCTTGGACTGACTTGCGAAATGGTGAATCCAGCAAGGATTTGACACAAAGGCTTAAGCATGTGTAGCACCCTTTTTCATTTTTTCTCGCATCATCACCGTTGTTGTTGTTTGTTTGTTTGTTTGGTTGATTGTTGTTGTTTGTTTGGTTGGTTGATTGTTTGGTTGATTGTTTGGTTGATTGTTTGGTTGATTGTTGTTGTTTGTTTGTTTGTTTGTTTGTTGGGTTGGGTTGGTTGGTTGGTTGGTTGGTTGGTTGGTTGTTTGGTTGTTTGGTTGCTTGTTGGGTTGATTGTTGGGTTGATTGTTGTTGATTGTTGTTGGTTGTTGTTTGTTGTTGTTGTTGTTGTTGTTGGTGGTTGGTTGTGGGTGTGGTTGTGGTTGTGGTTGTGGCTGTGGCTGTGGCTGTGGTTGTGGTTATTGTGGTTGTGGTTGTGGTTGTGGTTGTTGTTGTTGTTGTTGGTCATTCTTTCTAGTTTTATGATGTTTGATGTATTTTGCTGTGCTTTCCATCTGCTTTCCTCGCTAGCCACAACATGCCGCAACAGTCCGGGTGGTGATGCGCTTCTCAACGACGTAGGTCTTCGTGGCGCGTCATGCGTCTGACTTGAGTGCGGCGGTCTTCCGCTTGGCGCAGCATGCTTTGTCTCTGCCTTTGGCCCCAAAGGCTCCAATTAATGCCGAGGCGCCACAGGTTGAACATGATCTGAACATGGATGACCTAACCTAACATGGTTGATTGAACATGGTATACAGTATAATGAGCGAGTCTTATTTTTAGCAGCCAAGCTACTTTATCCGTGAGGTGATGGCAGCGGCTTGTGCTTCTGTTGCAGGCTTGGCCGAGCTCGAGGCACAGCCGCTCAGCCCGTTAACTGCACAAGCAGCTGCCAGCTGCAGTCACTGCAGTCACTGCTGTCACTGGAGTCCTTTTCCTGAGCTCGTCGAATCGTCGAGTCGACCCACCCTGCCGCAACTGCCGCGCCACCAACGCCAGACTGGGAAGTCTCATGTGCTCCGTGTGCTCGAGGACACGCGACGAGCAGCAAACGCATCAAACCTTGCTGCGCAGATGACCTTGGACTTGTCACTCTTTGTCACTCAAGTCGTTGAAACATGCTGAATTTGTACATGTTTATACCATCTTTATGTAAAATGCACGATTTTGGCGACTGAAGCATGTGAACATTTTTGTTTTTTCCAAGGCAGCTGAATCATGCTGCGTCTTTTGCTAGGAGCTTGCCAGGCATGTCATCATTTTTCAAGCCTTTGCTTACAGCTTCATTTCACGCACTGGGTTTGGCCAAATCAAAGGCGAGAGGCTCAGTGCATCTCAGTGCTTGAGTTGTCATGAGTCGTCATTGAGTCATCAACGGACCATTGACAACATTTGATAACCACATTCTTGGCACGTTTTGGCACCGCGACCTGCGCCCTAGGTCTCGATGAAGCCACTTACCGCATGCAGGCTCAGAGTATTCACTGGAGAGAAGAGGTTAGAAGAGATGAGACAAGAAAGTCATAGAAAATATATGAAAATATGGGAGCGCTTTATGGCATAGTCTATGCATAGACTGTGCATAGACATGCTGGAGGGATCCGCTCACAAATCTTCGCAAGGCTTCGTTGGCAGCTGCTGGTGTTTGGCTGCTTACTGCCTTTGGACGATCAGTGGATCAGAGCCGCCAAGCATCAAAGACGATCAAAAATAAAACAGTCATACCAATTTAAAAGCGAACAGCTTAAATTTGTCATAGTTTACCGGTGGAACAGTGGCTGAGCTCACAGAGGTGTTGATGGGGAGAGAGAGATGCTAGCACTTTTGAATTTGTTACATTGTGTCCGGAGGTTGGGAGTTCTCTAAAGTTTGGCGTGCTAAACTGGAGAACCTTTTTATGGTCGGTGACGCTTGCATCCACATCCACATCAAACGAGGCCTGAATGCGTCCACTCTTTGGGAGTGGGCCAGTGGAGATGCTCTGTATGCTTGCTCTGTGGTGAGAAATACCTTGACTTTGGAAGAGAGATTCAGACTGCAGGAATTCAATAGGAATTCAATAGGTCCTATTTAGGTGCAATGCTGCATAGCACATCCATATATGACTCATATGACTGTGGTCTGGCTGCTCACATTCTGTCAGGGCTCTGTTATTAATTTGCCGCTGGCTTTGCGGATTGAAACTCGGATTGAGCTAAGACTTGCCGACGTGGCATCCCCCCATGGCTTCCAAATTCCTGGCGAGTTGAGCCGCAGCCTCAGATGACACCATGACACCAGAGCACCAGATGACAGCTTCTGTACACCCAAAGCGCGAAGATGCGCAGAGTCTGGCAGAGTATGGCAGAGTGGTCAATTTACTTTAATTTGAGATTGACAGTGTTGGCAATAGATTCAGATAAGATCAGATAAGAAGGTTCGGTTGTGTTATACTGATCGCAAGCCCTTTTGAACAGATGCTTTTCCGTCGTGTCTATTCTGGTTGCTTCGCGACGACAGCCGCCCGCACCGGAGTGTTAGCTCCGGAATTCCACTAAAACAATATTTCTATGATGAGCCTTTGAAGATTTTGAAGGGCTCATGTTGGGAGTATATTGAGCCATGTTGGGCCCATGTTGGGCCTATATTGGGCCTGTGTTGAGGCAGATTGGGCCATGCTGGGCATATGTTGGGTTGATGCTGAGTTTGTTGGGCCTTTGGCGCGGCATATTGGGATATGTTGGGCCATGTGGGGCCTATGTTGGGCTATGTTGACCAAGTTTTGGCAACTTGGCCGATTTTAGGCCCCTTTAAAAGAGTCGAAAAATACATGATTCTAGAGAAATAAAGCCTATCCCCAAGATTCCTCAAGCTAAAGCTTAATATGTAGTTGTTGCCGCAATTGCTCGTTGTCCGCGCCGCACACGCACGCGCGCGCACACACACACACACCCACACGCACACACCCCCACACGCACACACGCACACACGCACACACACACACATTTTGGCTCAAGCCCCTTTGCACCCGCGAGTGGTGCTCTCAAGGGTCCTGGGACACCTGCTTGCAGCCGCAGCCGTTGCCCCCGGTCGTTCAGCTCATCCTGCCTCTTTTTGGCGTGCAGCTGCGGCTACCGTTGGGCTGACGGCGTTGCATTTGTGCTGCTGCCGGTGGAAGCACTACATCATTGAATTGTTCCTCCTTGTCGGGGGTGGTCTCCCCAGGGTCATCACGGCTTCACTGGACCATTTGATTGCAACAGGGTGGGCTCCTGAGTGGTTTTTCACTGGCCCGTGGTGGAATAGCATTCTTTTGGCGCTTATTTTTGCGATCTTCTGGTTTTATTTCATTTGGCACTGTTGCCTGCTGGACAACGTGCCCTTGCAACAGTTGCATCTTTGGAATTTCAGACGGCTTGACTCAGACCATTCTTCAGTGATTGCCCTTTTTGGCTTTTTGTGGTGTTTTCATAGAATCTACCAGGTCTCAGGGCACAGGACACCATCTCAGTTGTTTACAGGAACTTGTGCAACTCGGTCCCAAGTCCGAGCACAGGGTCATTGGAGCATCAGCAGACTTGGTACACTCTGCATCATCACTGCGATTTTGACATCACAGAGCTTCGATCCTGTGAGGGGTGAGGGTTCCGTCATGGACATGCGTGACGGGAGAGCTGGCGTGAAGGCGCCAGCGAAATCACATGTCGTTGAGCCCAGAAAGGTTTTAGAACCATACCAAACCCTGACTTCATACAATTTACGGAAAAATTCAGTTCAGAAACGTAGCTACAGACGTGCTTTACAACGTATTTCACGTCATGGCTATACCTGGTATCGTGGACAATTGCTCAGTGGCCCTCGAACAATTGAACAGCCATTGGAAACAAATCCTAAATCAGTGAGTTCCAACCATGCCCCATCACGTTCATTGAGGAATCGCCGATTGAGTTTCTTCTCTTGGAACTGTGGGGGATTAACAATGGCCTCTTGGGACCATCTCCAACAATGGCTGACATTGCAACAGCTTGACATCATCCTGCTACAGGAGACGCATTGGCAATTCTCCAGCGAATGGATGCAGAGCCATTTCTATTGCCTGCACTCTGGAGCAGGACCACGTCAGGCAGGTCTGCTGACGATGATTTCCAAAAGACTGGTTCAACAGAATGGCATCTCATGGAGTGAACCCATACCTGGACGCGTTTTACATGCTAGAATTCATGGTTCTCACAAAGGGTGTGACATCATTAATGTTTATCAGCATGTTCACAACATTCAAAGATTGGACGCAAGGGCAGATGTTTGGCATTGTCTTCACAACCTTATTTCAACGTTGCCAAAAAGGAACTCATTATTTGTTGCTGGTGATTTGAACACCTCGTTGCACAAGCGATGCACGGCAGTTGGACTTCCTACCTATGCGAAAGACAACAGCCGACACTGGGGTCCGGCACACAGAGATGCTGATCAACTGTATAACTTGTTACAGGTTTACAATTTGGTTGCTCTCAACACTTGGACCTCCCATCTCGGCCCTACATTTACCTTTGGCTCCCATTCTTCCAGGATTGATTTCATTTTCACAAAGAGGAATTTGACAGATCAACGGGCACGTGATGTTCATTACCTTCATGCTTTTCCATTGCTCCCCTTGACTGGTGCGCAGCATGTACCTCTCATTTGCAATGTGCTGAAGGTTTGGACCCCCTTGCCAACGATGCAGACACCTGGATGGAGTCGTGCTCAACGCAAAGAGTTGTATTTGCAGTGGAGTCGACAAGATTCAAATGCCAGAGCACTACAATCACAGGTGACCATGCGCATTGAACAACTTCCTGACACCGATTGTGATCGACTTCATGAGGTGCACACATGTTTGAATCAATTCGATGAGTTCAAAACTCCATCATACAATAAACATCCGGTTTATGAGTTTGATGCCACGCCTTTTCAGGCTTTTCAACAGCACACGAGATCTTTGCGACAAATGTCCACTACTGGGATTTCCTCATTGGCGCACTTGTTTCAGGCTTGGTTTCATGTTGCCAAACGACAAGCAGCACGTCGTCAAATGAACCTTACTGCCAAGGCAGCACGGAAATCTAGAATTGATCAAATTTTTGCACAGGCTGACAAAGCTGAACGTGCAAAAGACTCCTTTCAATTTTACCAGGCCATTCGTGAACTGGCTCCCAAGCAATCTTTTCAGCGTATTCAGCTTAGATCTGCGACAGGAGCTCTACTTGGCCCTGCTGATGCTGCCAACTCATTATGCGCTTGGTATCGGGAGCTTTACTCAGCACAGGATGAACATTCAGTCATTCAGAATTTTTCATGGCCCTTTTCTGAAGCAGAGTTTTGCGCTGGTTTACAACGATTGCCTTCGTTCAAGGCTCTTGCACCTGACTATGCTCCAGCTCCCATTTGGCAAGCGGCAGCTCCCTCAGCGGCTGCATATCTTCAACCATACTTTGAACACTGCAGCTCTTTTGGTAGTTTGCCTAGTTGCTGGAGCAATGGAGTATTGACATTCTTGTGCAAACCAGGCAAACCTGGCAGATCACCTGCAGAGCTTCGCCCTATTGCCCTGCTGGAACCTTCCGGAAAGGTGCTGATGGGGTTAGTGGCCAAATGCTTACTGCATTCAATGTCTGAACGTTTGTTTAGGCTGCCGGTGTTTGCCTACCTCCCTGGACGAGGAGGAGACGAGGCTATCACCAGGGTCAGGAAACACTGCTCTGATGTTCGAACCTTGTTGCGCACCCTGAGATTTGGCATTCATCGTGCAGCTCACTCTGTTCCAGGACCGGAGCTGGCTGGTGGATTGGTCCTCAGTCTTGACTTGACGAAGGCCTTCGACAGTGTGGTGAGGTCAAAGTTATTTCAAGCGTTGACATCACTAGGTGCAGACCACAACATCATTGCCATGCTCAGTCAAATCTACAACAAAACATCATTCTCTTTTTGGCATAGAGGTCAATATAGATCCTTACCCACACAACGTGGTATACGACAAGGCTGTAAAGCGGCTCCAATTTTGTGGACCCTTTTTTCTGCCTGGATCTTGGAGACCGCTGCGCAGATCAACGGATGGGAATGGCTGAGCGATGTTGTCACAGCTTTTGCAGACGATTTTTGCCTCCACAGTTTGATTGAATCGATGGATGATTTTTCCAGCACCCTGACCAAGGTTGGAGCTTTCTTGGATCTGCTGATTGATGCTGGCCTGACCATCAACCGTGACAAAACAATTGCTACCTTGAAGCTGCATGGACCGGGCAAAGCCAAGATCTACAAGAGATTCATCAAACGCACCAAAGATGGTACTTTCATTTGCATTCCCAGCAGACATGGTCAACCATTTTTCATCCGATTGGTTTCGCAGTTCTCCTACCTTGGTGTCATTCTGAGCTACTCGAATTTTGAACTTTTGACTGTACGGCACAGGATCAAGGCTGGGGTAAAGATTTCTCATCAGCTACAAAGGTGGTTGTTTAAGAAAACTGGTCTCAGTCACAAACAGAAGATCAAACTGTGGTTCCAGTGTACTTTCCCCTGCTTGACATATGGCTTACGATCCATCGGTCTGACACCTCAAACGGTTCAACTTCTCGACAGAACTTTTCTTCAACAATTGAGACGACTTTGTCACTCACCAGTGCATCTCACTCACCTGGCCCATGTCGATTTCTTAGACAGTGCGGGCAGTGCTGATCCTTTGCAGAGATTGCTGACTCAAATTCGAAAGGCCAGACAACGAGAGTCGGATCGCACAGTGCGATTGCAGCCTGATGACATTCTTCATAGATGTTATCCTCTGGATCCACTGCACTTGGAACAGGTACTCCTTGAAGTCTACGAGCAGCGGCGTGACTCATCGACACTTCATCAGGCTGAATATGCGCCACATGCTTGTCCTCTGTGCTCTATGAGTTTTACCAACATTTCCTTGCTGCGTAGGCATCAGTTGCTTGAGCATGGCTGCCGATCAGGCCTTCTTCGAATCTCTCAAGCATCTGAATCACATCAGGGCGTTCCCACATGTCAACGATGTGGAAAGATGTTCACTCAATGGCACAATTTTCACTATCATGTGAAGTACGTGTGCCTGGCCCCTTCTCAGGAAGATGAAGACCTTGAACATCGACTACGGGTCCGTGAATATCTGAACTATGTTCAAGGAATGAGCTACGCTGCACTTGGTCAACGGAAGGACCTCACTGCATACTTTTCTCATAGATGCATCCTGTGTGGTCGATACATGTTGACAACACGTGGACTCATGAGACATTGGAGTGATTCTCACAATGAATGCTACAAGAAACATGGTGCTTGGAATGCCTACCTGATTCACAATGCCGGCACCAGCAATCCGTGTGAATTTTGTGGCACTCATTTCCTTCGAGAACACAATTGTGTTGTTCTGAGACAGTATGCTATCTACATGACCTTCCATGGCCAAGATCCTCCTGGAAATGTGCCCAATGCTAACACTGTCTTTCCTTGTCAGAAGTGCAACAAGGTATTCCTGACGAAACATGGACTTGAACAGCACCTTCGGAACTTCCACTTGGCACTCAAGGTTGGTGATCAACTCAATGAACAACAGCTTGAAGCGTACTGCCTTGTCATGCAGGCAGTGGAGACGGAAGCCTGCATGGATCTTCTGGGCAATGAGCACATCATTGAGCTGCTGTCGCAAGTGTGCCTCAGTTGTCAAAAGACGTTTCAACGGAAAAATGAGCTTGTACGTCATTTGAGAAGCCACCATTCATCCCTTTGGAACCAGATCACCATCGAAACAGAGGCATTGGAACAAAGAGTAAAAGGGCCATTTGATTGCTACTGCATGCCCAAGAGCTACAGGAAGCATCAGTGTCTTTTGACCCTACAGTACACACTTTTGAGGTTGACGGTCACACCGCATCCAGATGCTGACCAAGCTCGATTGGCTCCACCGGATCTTTTGCTGGCACCGGGTGAGGTTATTCACCAATTAGCTCGACTTGGGCTCTTGCGGTTGGTGACACACAACCCTGGCTTGCGCATGCAGTTGTCGCTCCACTGCCAGGTGTGCGGCTCGAATTTTCCTTCGCCATTGTTGCTGATGGAGCATCTCTGTGGCCTCCATGCGCAGGCGCTGGCCGATGCGGAAGCCTGGAGGCGCTGGCCGAGGCGGAAGCCTGGATCAGAATGCTGTCCTGGGTGATGTTTTCAGCACATGGCTGCCTGTGCAATCCGGCAGTTAACTATGGAACACCTGGACATCGATGTTCACTGATCTACAACCTGGCCCTCATGATCAACGATTGTGAAAGTGAAATTTTCACGCCATGGCACTACAGAGCTGTTGATCTGTTGGATGTGCTTGAACCATACCTGCCTGAACCTATGCTCTCCAAGGTGTCGACGTTGATGATGACAAGGTGCTTTGAGGATGTCATGATGAGCACCGAAGTGTATCAACTCTTGACACAGCGATGCATCATCTGTGATACACAGATTCCTCTCAACTGTGCAAGGACCCACATCCGGGTGGCTCACAACTTCGACATCAGGAGCATAGAGGTCATCATCAATCAACTGGCCAAACGGGCCTCTCAAACCCACTTTGATCACTGGTGCACATTCTGTGGAACGCTGTTGCCTTATGACTTGGAAGATGAGCATTTCAGCCCCTGTCCGGAGCAACACTTGAAGGAATGTGATTACATCGCTTTGATAGCAATGCTGCTTTCATACCCGGTGTGGTATAAGAAGCCATATGCTCCTGACACCTGGCCAACGGCGGATGAGGTGCAACGTGGCAAACACGACATCGACTTGCAGCTCATGCAATTCAATGCGCAACCCTCAGCACCATATGATGCTTTAGGCTACTCTTTTGAGCAACTTGCTGCCTGTGGATTTTTCATGCTGAGTGATCCTCTTTTTCTGGAGCGTCTCTCATATCAATGCTTGATGTGTAGATGCAAGTTTTTCACACCATGGAAAATGTTTGAGCATCTTCAATCACACAACTTCCGACAGTATGACACTTTCCTGTGCAGCCACAGACTTCATCTCAGATGTTTGACACCATGCCAATTTTGCACTTTGCAGCAACATTTGGTGCAACTGGGTGAACGCTGCCTCCCGCTGTTCCATTTGGCAGTTTACCTCTGCAATGGAGGAGGCCTTGGATCAGGCCAACGCTATCTGGAGCTCCATTCTGTCGGCAGATCAAATGAAGGCCTTGGGCCTGGGATTGGAGGGCGATCGTCAGGCCAAACGGCCCAAGACAGAAGCGGGACGCAAAGGACCCAGGCAAACCAAACCGTCCTACGACGACCTGGTGGCACTGGTGGCCCGTCTGGCCTTGAGGACGGAAGACAGTTTGCAGCAGCTGCTTCAGGAACATCAATTCATCCTCCACCTCCAACCAGGCCAGGGGTCGGTGATTCCTCTGATGTTGGCTGCCACACAGACCTGGCACAAGGGCTCGAAGGACACGCCACTGCGGCATCATTTGGTGGTTGTGCTGATCATGGCCCTGGAAGAGAGACTCCTGGCTCTCTCCAAGTCGACTCCCAAGGATCCGCAGTGGATCGAATGCCAGAAGCTGAACCTCATCGATTCGGAGGGCAACATGCCTTACCTCCGCTGGGATCCTACGGCCCGTACTTTGAAGCCGACGAAAGAAGCCACCTTGAGGTTGGACGAAGCCCTTCGTGCGATTCAGAACGTGCGACGGTTGGTCGAAGACCCCACTACGACCATCCGTTTTCATGGCCTCATGAAGCACACCGACCAGAACAGCGACAAGGCACTCCCATTTCTATGGATGATTTCGAGCCGCAATCAGCCGGAAGCCTGGAGCGAAGTCAGACGAGTCTGCTATCATGCCATTTGGCAGTTAGTGAGGACTTCTATTCGTCCACAGGGCACAGAGCGGAGCACATTGGCCAAGAGCATTCAACAGAGGCTCGCAAAAGGGTCGTCCGGATCATGATGAACCCCGGCAACATCTGTTTCGCAAATGCCTTTGTGGTATGCCAAGCATGGGCAACTCTTTTGGCAGGGGCTTTGGATCCAAAATGGTGGCCCTTAGGGGGATTTGAACTTTTCAGATCGGTCACTGCGATCAGTGGTTTACCGTTGAATCTCCTCAACTTTCAACCGTTTCTCTGGTTGCTGACTGATGGATGGACAATTGCAGACATGGACAGACAGCAGGATGTGGCAGAATTTGCCCATTGGTTTCTGATGCGTACGACGCCCCTGTTTGTCAATTGTGCGTGGGTTGCACGCTTTGTGCGTGATGGACTGGAAAACGATCCGAGTGTGAGTCATGAAAAAGGACACCCATATGGTTTGATACAGCTGTCACTGGACCCACAGCATGAGACATGTTCACTTCAAACATTGATCGATCAGTGGCACGATTGCCGAGGTGTTTGCAGAGCAGCTACACAGGTGGGACGTGTCATCCTTCTCTCAATCAGTCGATTCCTTCCAGCTGTTGCCCAGAAATGCACACAGAAGGTTGTATTCTCAAACACCATACAATTTCCTTGCTTCATTGACAACACTGCTGATTTCATCTTTTGCCAATACAGAATTTGTGGATTCGTGTATCATGTGGGGGCGACACCACACTCTGGTCACTATCGTGCGTCAGTCAGATGCAATAACCAGTGGCTGATCTACGACGATGGCAGACTGCCAGATAAACACGTTGACCTGCCTGATTTGGTGCTGAAAAATACAGTTTTGTTTTGGCTGATTCCTGTTGATGGCATTGACAGGAACTCCGATGAGCTCTTGGTGTTGCGATATCGCAATCTCATGGTGGATGAGGACGAGCCTATGAATGCTGACACTTGATCCTTGGCTATCTCTACAGGCCACCTGACAGCACTAGGCGGCTTCTTTTGCACTGGCAGCTGATTTCCTGATGATTGCTGCTGCGAGCTTGGCAGCGGCGCTGGCTCTTCTTTGCTTTTGGCGCTGCTGCCGCATTGCGCTGTGAGCCCCTTTTGGTGGCTGCTGTGGCGACTGATCTTGCTGCAGCATGTGAGAGATTTCACTTCCGACGTTTCATTTTTTTCCAATTCTTTTTGTTTGAATTTCTCCAGGATGACCTGTTGTCTTTTCACTAACAACTACCTGTGATTGCAACTTTTGGGTCTCCAGATATCCCTGAGGGGTTACAATGTAAGGGTTTGGTAAGTCCACATGCTGCCTCCCGGACGTCAAAATGGACGCAGCTGTGGCCATTGGCAGAAACATGTCGATGTTAGGGCGCGCCTGCCTGCACAGATAAGGAGTGTGGTTGGGGTAGCAAAAAACACACACACACACACACACGCACCCCCAAAAAAAAACGCCTCGGCACTTTCGGCGCGGGCGGATTTTTCTTGGTAGTGGTCTTGGAGCTTTGCCATTGCTCACTTGTGTTCCCTCCACCTTTGTTGAGGCATTGTGCCCGTGTGACAGCGATAGATACAGTAGGTGATAGGCCTATGCATTACCTGAATTTATTGACGGGTTGGCGTGTTCAGAGGTATTCTGCAGCGATCCATGGTGCAATCGCTGCTGGGTCTCAGTGTGAGCCTTGCATGGCGAAGCTGCATTTTTCCTTTCGTTTGTCGTGCGGCAACATGACTTTGCATGATTTGAATGTGATGCCAGGGCACCGACGTGGCGTTTTCTTTCGCAGACCAAGTGGAGGCATCTCTCTGTGGCAAGACCAGGTAAGAGTCAATTTTGCTTGTTTTCTTTCATCCCTCCCTTGCTACTTTTGCCGTGCTTCAACCCTGCTTTGACAGGTCCAAAGACCTTCAGTGTATTTGCTGCTGCATCGTGCTCGATTGGCATTGGCTCTCTGCGAGACAAATCTGGTGCCTTTGGTCTTGGACTGTCTGGAAGGCTTGACCTGCTTGTGGGCCAGAAAGTACAAGTAGGTGAAATCAAGCGTGACGCACATCGTCGCATCGTGCTACGAGGGAACTCCATGGAACTTCATGGAACTTGTATAATTTCGAAACTACCTTGCATTTTTCGGCACATTCTTTTGCTTGAGGCCTGCAGATTTCAGCTGTTGAGCTCGCCAGCTTTCTTGGAAAGCTCTTGGGCGCTGAGCTGTTGGAGACGAAGGCCGTGCATTTTTTCGACATTTACTTTGCGTTCTGTTAAAAACCTTTTCTTTTTGAGCTGCAATTTCCCATTCAGCTTTTGTGATGACTTAGAGCTTTGACTGCAAAACTCGCCGTAATCTGAGAGTTGCACTGAAGTCATTGCTGTGCAGCTTGATTGCAGGAAATGGGCCATGAGGAAGAGTCGGTGGAGGTTTGGATTTTGTGGAGAGAGTCACCAATGTCCAATCCCTTTATCTTTCGAAAGTCTCGAAGGTCTCACATCTCACAACAAAAGGCCACAGTGCCACAGTGCCACAGTTGCAATCGCCAGGCCTGCCGCATGGCGCTTGCATTGTTTCGAGATGGCCTGTCGGTCCACCAAGAGAGGCACGGCCTGTCCAGTCTCTCAGCAGTCTCTCAGCCCCACAATTCTATCAGTTCCATCAGTTCCATCAGCTCCTTGTGCGTGGGAGGCTTTGGGCAATTCTTTCTAGTGTGCCTCCCAGAACAAGGCTGGGATTTTAAGATGGCAGTAGCTGTCAAAGTGAAATACGAAATACCATGAAATACCTTTGCTTTTTGTCACGCTGTCACCTCCATTTGAGATTGCTTAGATAGTCTCCCCACCTTAGACACAGGTTGTTGCGAAGCTTCCTCCGTGATTGCAACATCCTCAAAGACGAAACAGTGAAGGATGGAACTTAAAGGAGACCAAGAAATGAATTCTGAGAGCAGTGTTAGTTGTATCATCAAATTCATCGTTTGTGCCAGAAATCGCCGGTTGAAGGACATCAAAATGAGTTGAAACATGTTGAAGCGAGCCGAAACTACTTCTGAAATCCATGCCACTAGCAGTGGCATATCTACTATAGCATGCTGGTGCATCCTGTGCAAGAGTCTAAGATTATCTAACAGCAGTGGCATTGTTTTGAGGCGCTGGGCTTGCTATGGTCTTGCCTTCTGAGTGCTGCGTGGAGCTTCTCGCGTGCTGCGAACTCGCGCAAGACTCCAAGGCAGGGCAGTTTGATTTATCGGTTTTGCGGATGGGGTTTACAAAGCAAGGACATAAAAATTTCAGTATTTGGTAGGTATCACGACGTAGCCGCTGGTAGCCTGGTAGCTTTACGACTTTCGCCCAAGCCGTTTTTACACCATAGACACCACCACAGGCAGCGGCACCGAAGGCACCGTCTCCGGCCCCAGGACTGGGCGGCCTTGGCTGGTCTTTGCTGCATCGCCAGTCATGGATCACTGGGCCCTGCAGAGGAGGGGAAGGGACCAAGCTCTGGGACGCTCTGGGACGCTCTGGGACTCAGGATTTAGGTGACTTAGGTGACATTTTGAGTCAAGATGAGTCAAGATGGTCAAGGATGGAGGTTGAGACCTTTAGGAACGATCTAGGAACGGCCAGTGAGAAGACTGTTGTGATTCAAAACATGAACGCAACAGAAAAAGACCATAAGAGCAAAGTGAGACAGAGGTGTTGCAGAACAAAGGGAGGCCAATCACAGGAAGCAGTCTCGCAAATGCAAACAAGTGCACTTGGAGGTTTGATAGCACACTCGGAATCGGTTGGCAAGAAATGAACACACACACATATATATATATAGACTCTTAGAGAGAGTCCATGCACAGTGCAAGGTGAAATAATGAAGGTTGAACATACACCATTGCAGAATATAGCAGATATGATATATATATATTATGTTTTAGTTCTATTGGTTTTTGCTTGTAATAAAGCTTCTGGGCGTCAAATGTGCCAAAATGAGCTTGGGACCCGGAGCGCCTGCGAAGGTTCCTCAGCTGTCTGGCATTCTCATGACCCTGATGCTCGAGGACAGGTAGACAAAAGATGCTGAAATAGCACGGACTGACGGACTGGTCATGTTTGGCCCTTGTGGAGACCCAACCCATTTCACCGTCAATCTTCACCAGCAACACCATCGGAGTTGTCTTGACATCTTCAGTTGAAACTCAGCAGTTTCCGAGTTTCTTGTTTATCAGTGGCCTCCTGTGGTACAGCCTTTCTATATAGGTAAATTCTTTGGCATTCCTCATTCAAAAGCCCTTGCGATGATATCTCCTCTTTGTTCTTGGACCGGGGCAGGTGCAAACGACTTGGTTGAAAGGTCGCTTATCCACAAACTTCCAGTCACGACTTTTCCTTCTTGTGGCAACTTACCTTCATTGAGCTCGTGCAATAGTTTGGGTTGGATGGCTTAGGACCGGGAATTCGGTTAAACTTTCACAAAATCTTCAAGAACTCCACGTAAATCTTCTCGACCAAATTGCTCCAAACTTGCTCCAAACTTATGGCATTGAATGCATATTGAATACATGCAAGCAATATGAAGGAAAACTACCCTTCGAACTTAGACTCGAGACACAGCACATCACAGCACGCACAAAGCATATAAGTCTCAGGGGCGACGATCTCTTAGTGCTTTTGAATTGTCAGGGAAATTTGCTCTACAGAATTCGCTCTATTTGATCTCCCTTGAGTTTAGATGCGAATGGAGAGCAGCGAGCAGGGGCTTATGTGTATGGCAGTGTATGGCTTTTCTTCAAAGCGGTATTCTTTGGAATGTTACTAATCTTCCCCGCAAAGATGAATTTCTCGGAAATCTGCGTGATCAAACACGTAGTCTCAAATGCGTGTGCGTTCAAGTTGTGCTGGAGCTCAACCGTGATGTGAATTTGCTCTAGGAGAAAGAAGCAGTGCTGCAGCAGCTGCAGAGGTGGCCATCAGTTCCGGGTCAATGCGATGCCGAGAGCCAAATGGATACGGAACCCAAAATATCCCAAAATCAGAAGAACAAACAGCACCACATGGAGTACTTTGCACAAAGAGTTGAGTCAGTCGAGTCCAAATCTCTTTGAGACTTTGCATATCTTTGCATATTTTACATCACATCTGCTAAGGCCTGGAAATCTCTTCTACAGGAGCCAAAAGGTCCTCTGCAGTCGAGTGATCTGCCCCCGAAACCTCCTCCGAGTCCTTTGGAAGCGAAGCACCGCCGACTTCTGGCAGTTGGCCTAGAGGCACAAGGGGACAGGAATGGACAGGAATGGACAGGAGATGGTGATATGATGCATGGCAAGTCTCACGTGTGTCAACCAAGTCTGATAACAGCAGCAGGGCAAGGAATGGTTCAGATCATATTTTACTTACTTCTCATTCTGTTGTGCTTCTTGTTTCCTGCGTGAAGGCACTCCTGGTCGATCCGCCACCAGAGCTGTGACATGGATGAATGTATGAAGGGAAGAAAAGCAAAAAGGAGAAATAGCAGAACAACAGCGTTCCAAGAAGTTCCAACTTTTGTGCTTTCTCACTGCTTCATCGTTTTGCCACCATTTAATTTCTTCGAATCAGGTCTTGCTCGTTGGATGGACGCCTTGTTACATACCCAGGTGGGGGCAATTGCTGACGTGGCATGACTACAAACCCAGCTTGAACAATAAGCAGAATTGACACATCTACACATGAATGATTTCGGCGTCCTTTGCAGTTCGGAGCCCCGATGGGGATGTCTTCGACGCAGCATCCTTGGCGTGTTACTTGACACAGAAACTCGGCAGAGGGTTCGGGGTAAACTAGAGCTTTGGTCGATACAGTGTGACACGACATTTAGATATCGTGGGTAGAAACTGTAGAATGGCTTTCGAACAAGTCTATATTGGTGCAGGCCAGGCAGAGAGTCAGAGAGCCCGGTAAGATTTCTTCTCGGGGCCGAAGGAGCGGCACGTGCCCCTCTGAACAGTCTGAACACGCTTTAACGCTGGACATTTGCCGCGTGGATGAGGAGCTGCAGCGTTGCATGGCGGCAAGTTGTGCAAGGCGAAAAGTTATTTTCCCATCAACAGGACATCGGACATACCAAGAAAATGCCAAAACAACAGCTCAATAAAACATTAAAAAACTCACTAAAGAAATAAACAGATGGATAAGTATAACAATATAACAACATATATATATATATACATATTTATAATATAATAGTAATAATAATAACTTAATAATAACAATACTAATAATATTAATAATAGTAATAATATAAATAATAATGATAGTAATAACAAAAATGTATATATATATATATACACATATGTATATACACATACACATACACACATACATACATACATACATGCATGCATACATACATACATACATATATATTTACACACATACGTACACACACATATATATATACATATGTATACACATATATATATATGTATATTTAATATCTGCACATAAATGCCTTGGATGTACACGATCTCATGGTGCCAGAAACTTTGGCTCATGCTTGCAGCAACGGGTGGAGCTTCCACGGTAGGTAGCTTAGCCCTAGCATATAAGCTCCTGAACGGCTGAAAGGTCCGATCAGGTGTCCTGCCATTCATCTCTGGCCCCTGGCGCTTTGACTGCTGCTCCTTTCTGCTTGGCCTTGGCGCTGGGATTTGCCTCGTCGTGGTGATCGAGGTTCGGTTTACCACCAAGTGGAGCTTGCTGGCCTGTGCTGACAGGCGATCAGTGGCTCGAGCCCCTCAAGTGAGCCGGGCGACGCAAACCGCTTTACAAACTCTGTTGATGCGCCACTCTCCCCTTGCTGCAGCCGACATTGAGGGTGAGCTGCAGGATCTGAGAGAGGAAGTGGAGGCGCTCCGCGCCGAAGTGCGGAGATTGTGGAGAGCGGTTGCTGAGGTTTGGGGCTTGTTGGCTGACTCTGGGCGAGGGTTTGGAAGTGGGCGAGATTCTGACTCGCGAGACAGTGGTGATTTTGTGGGGGTGGGTTCATCTGCGCAATCTGCATCTGGTTGCTCTGCCTTTCCTGACGCTGGCAATCAGCGCGCGCGGGCGAGCAATCAGTGCCCTACCCTAGCGAAATATTCCCACACTAGGTTGACCTGGCTGCAGAGGGAAGAGGTCTGTGACCAGATCGGCAAGTTCCTGGCCAGGTCTACGGCTGGTGGACATCGCGGCGGCAGTGGCAGGGATAGCGTTCAGCGCTTGCGGATCATTGTGCGGGACTGCGTTGGCCAGATCTACGCCCCTGTGAAGGTTGTGCGCGCTTGCAAGACGAACCATCACGAGTGCGGCGACGCCATCTTCGTTGGGTTGCCGTCAGAACGAGAAGCGAGAAGGGTGGCGCAGGCGGCTGAGCTCTTGTGGCCAGCTGTCATTGAACAATGAGCGTGGTGCGTCAGGCTCATTGGCCTGACGATAGAGCCCGCAGCGAGACGTCCTCAACGGGATGTTCAAGATGCGCAGGGTCAGCAGCTTAAACTTCGAGCAAAGTGGCGCAGGTCAGCGTGCCTCCAGCGAGAACTCGCCGAGACAAGGAACGGTGCCAGACCCCACCAGGAACAGCAACGAAAAGACGGCCTTCAAAGGTGCCGATCTGAATTACCTGCCAGGTTGGAGTGTAGCTGCCGATGGTGACGATCAAATGGAGGACATCGACGGCGAGCCCTAGGACGAAGCAGATGTTGGTTTGGACGGAGCTCCCATGAGCCCATGAGTGAGCATGTGGAAAGGGTCTCGACTAGAGAAGGCGATGCTATCGCTGACGGAGGAGGTTCTTTGGGGCAGCGACAACAACACCCGAAGCTTGCTGCAAAGCCGAAGATTGCTCAGCGGCAGCCTCTTCTTGGTGCTACGTCAGCCGCTGGGGCCCGTGACCCGTGCGGAGTCATCGGCTCGATATCCTTTGCTGGGCCCTGGAGTCGTTGCTGCAGCTCTTCAAGCCGGAGTCCCTCATGCGAATTTGGCGGCGATGCAGGGACTACTTGCACAAGGTGGAAAGATCAACAAGACCAAGGACATCAACACTGGGGTCACTTTGGAAGCCTTCACCGACGAGGAGCTCATGACGGATCAGGAGATGAAACCCGCAGAGCAAGGATCTGGGTTGCAGGGTCAACACTCCGTTGGGCTGACGCTTCAGAAGCTGACGTCCATTGTGGAGCTGCTGACAGAAGACAAGAAGAAGCGGACTGCGCAGTCGAAGCTGGAGACTGCTTTGGACGGAAGCGCGGCAGCATCTTCAGACCTGCCGCTTCATGGAACTGGCAAGAAAGCAGCAGCTGCACGACGAGCCCTTCGCAGCGCAGATGATGATGTTGATGATGATGATGATGCTCGATCAGGCGTCGATCGACCGGGGTCGGGGACCATGGCAGCCGAGCTTGCTTTGGAACCTCGGCTGCGTTAGCGGCACATCAACCCCCAGCCATCCAGGACGCGGAGAGCGGATTCAGCCAGCTGCTGGATGTGAGATGGGCAGAGGTCGATATCACACCTCAAAGGCCAGGAGGAGTACATCAGCAAGAGGCGCAATGTCGGCAAGTACGGCAAAGACTCCAAGGACAGCAACACAGAGGGCGGCGGCGAGACCGAACCAAAGAGGAAAGCTCACCCCAAGCCGAAGCCAGAGTCACAGCCGGGAAACCCGGCTGCGGAGGGATGATTTCCTCTCCTGATGATGCAGTGGCCGCTCCAGCACGGGGCAATGTTCCAATGGTGCCTGGTGCTGCAGCAACTGCCATTCGCATCCCAGCCTTTTTGAATTCATTGCCGAGGTGGCTGCTAAACTTCTTGCGGCCCCCAACGTTTGTTGCGCTCCATCTTGATGATGCCCAGGCGCTCCAGTTGCCCTACGTCAAAGCCCAGCTGCACTTGGCCGATGGCATTGCCCTACCCTGAGGCTTTCAGAGCTGGAGGGCACTTGGATCCCAGGTCGCATGTAAAAAGGAAAAGGCTGATCTGTTTTCGGGTGCTTGTGCTGGACCGGCTGCATCTCAACAAACCTGATGCCTCTCCAGCCGAACTCTGCCTTGGAGAACATCTGAGTGCACGCCAATGGTCTGTGGTAGAGATGCTTGAGCACCTTGCCTTTGATGGTAACACACCTGAATTAGTTGATGCTGCAGCAATGGGTCGGGGGGCTGGAAAGTTTGAAGGTTACGAAGAGAACTTTTCCCCCCTCGCCACGGCTGTGGTGACTTTGCAATCCTCCGACGGGAAGTACTCCTGCTTCTCGCCGTCCTGCAGCTGAGGTCCTGGATGAGGACGTGTCTTGGAGATGCGGCAGGACATATGGTGAAGTTCCAGTGGATGCCAGTCTGACTGCAAAGCCGCTGGTGGCTGATCGACTCACCTTTCCGCCAAAGCCCAGCTTCAACCCTCTGCCCTATTTTGACAAGAGCACTGCAACCTTGTATGAGCAACCGCTTACCCGGGGTAAGAATGTTGAAGGGCTTCCAAAGCCTTCCAATGTGCAAGTTCCTGCGTCGCCGAAGGAGAAGCTGAAATTTAAATTGTTTAAGAAGATGGCTGATGCAGGGCTTCTCCAACCTCTGCCCCCTGGCAGCTACATCGACGGCTACCGGTCAGGCTTGTTTGCTGTCGTGAAAGATGCTGATCGGGACCGCATGATGCTTGATGGCCGCCCTGCAAACTTAGTTGACCAAGGGCAGAAGAAGTGGTGCGATGGTATGGCAAGTTCAGCAGCCCTTGCAAGCCTTTACCTGCAGCCTGACCGTGTGCTCATGTGTTCTGGTGAGGACCTACGAGACTACTTTTTTACCTTTTCAATGCAAGGTCAATGCAGAGCGTACTGCGAGAAATGTGCTGCAAGGTAACCTGACCATTTCCCAGGCCAAGTTAGTCTTCGGTCAGGGCTTTGAGTGGCCGCATAATTTAGTGGCGGTTGGCTTCTCTTGTCTGGCAATGGGGGACTTGCTGTGCTGTTGAGTACGCACAGTGCTCACACTTGGGTCTTTTGATCCAGCATGGGGCAGCAAGGGTCAACGAGCTTCTTATGCTCCATGGCTCAATCCCGCGTGGGCTGCTTCAGGTTGGCATCATTGTGGATGACCCCATAGTCCTGGAGCAGAGGAAAATGCAACTTTTGAAAATACAATGCGAATGCAGGCTGCTAGAGATGCCTAGGGTGCAGCAGGTTTGTTGACAAATCCGACGAGAAGCTTTGAGGCCGAGCCCTGCAGCAACTTTTGGGGTACCCACTTGGATGGCGACAAGGGATTGATTGGTTAGGGCCAGTCAGAAGAGGCTTTGACCGTGTATGGTCATCACTTGCAGAATCTGCGCTTTAGGCCTTGCGACAGTTGGGTTGCCTGAGAGATTGGCAGGGATGTGGGTGTCGCCGCTTGGAGTGCGGAGGAGACTTTACAGTGCGCTGGACATCGTCTTCGAGCCCCTCGCAATGGACTGCACTGAAGGCACTGTTATACGGTATACGTCTCTTTGATGCGCTGATTTCGGAGCTCTACACCCTTGCAGTGCTGGGAACGCTTGCTGCGGTCAACCTTCGTGCTGGCTATGCTCCTTTCGTCTCATGTGAGCCAAGCTGCCGGCACAAATAGCGCACACTTTGCGCGAGGGCGTTTGGGCGAAGCTTCTCTTGCCTGCAGCAGCTCGGAGACATGGGCTTTTGGCTACGGAGGACGAGGTCGCGGAGGACGGCTTCAAGACACAGCTTTTGTGGGAGGTCATAACACGAGGCCTGGAGTATAAGGAGACCTGGAGGAGAATTGGCCGGTAGAGTCACATAAATGTGACTGAGTTGCAGGCCTTTGTCATTGAGGAGATGCGCTTGCAAATGCTTCGCCAAGCTGCAGAGTTTTGACCGGCGTCGATTCTCAGGTGGCGCTAGGGGGCAGCCCGGCCCGCAATCGAGTTCTTCAGCGCAGCATGTGTTATGCTGTTGGTGGTGACATTTACAACTTGCCGATGTATTTTCACACTGCCTGGAACCGAGCGGCCACCCGACTTGCAACTGCCTGAATGTTTTTTTTGCCCTAGCCGAAGGCGACTTTGAGCCTTTTGACAGATGGATGGCGCAAGTCGGTGCACCGAACCCTGATGTGGAACTTCCTTTTGCGGACATCAGTGGAACCCAAGACATCGACCTTCGCCCTGCAGCAGTTCTCAAGAAGAAGCCGCCAGCGAAGTCTCAGCCTTCAACTCGCGCTCTGGCACAGGAAGCGCCGATTGGGAAGGGCATGCAGCAGAAGCTTTGCCCTAAGGCAGTTGAGTTGCTGCAGTCGATGCCCCGGTGTCAACTTTTTTTTTTCGTGAAGGCGCGGTGGCATTTTTGGAGCCAGCAGGTCTTGACCTCTATACAGTGGCAGAATGGGCGTTGCTCGCCAAATGGTCCAGTTTGGGGCCCTTTGGGTGTTGACTTTCGCGGAATCGCAGTGCAGCTGAGAACCTTTTGTGCCCAGTTCTGCGCGCGAAGACTCGCTGCATGAACACAGTTGGATGCTTCAAGACCTGCGGCGCCGCTCCAACCTGCTCAAACTTTTCAGTTGCTGTCACGCCCCCGGTGAGGTCGTCAGTATCCGAGGGGGCTTCCAAACCTTCGGAGAACTATGCAACAAAAAGTGCGAGAAGGGAACAGCCACAATGACTTTATGGCTGATGTTGTCCAGGACTGCGAAGAAGAGGACATGGGGTATTTCGTTGAGAGCACAGACGTTGGAGGAAGTGGCGTCCCTCTGACAGCGGCCGCCTTTTCCGCCTTTGCTTTTGCAGATTCGGCACTGCGTGGAGAAAGGCTACTCGAATTGCCACCAACACACGCCTTTCAGGCGTTAGAATGATGTGCAGTGCTGAAGACAGCATCAGAGACTTCGAGGAGCTCATCTTACAAAGCGAATCCCATGGACGCTTGTGGCACAGCCTTACCCACTTGGGACTCAGCAGACTTTTGGCGATAGTGCTTTGCCAGCATGCAAAGTAATGTCACACCGAACGGCTCACTGTGGCAGCTTGCGCCCACACTGGCACTTTGCGAGTGGGTGAGGCCAAAAACCCTGGACCCCGAAGCAGGGTTCCTCTCCTTCGGCATGTTGACCTTCAGAAGTGCAGCTAGTTTCAACTTGGCTTTGGAAGCTAAACAACTGCGGGCTTTTTGTGACTGGTGTGGCCAACGGTTTCAAGATGCTGACTTGCAGTTTTTCTTTGAGGCAGCCCCGCAATTTTTGGTCGAGGCTCCGGCCACCTATGCTGCATGGAGTTTCACACATGGCGGTGCTCTTAGCAATCTTCGCCACCTCCTTCTTGTGTGCCAGAAGTGGGTGCCAGCTTCACGCCCCCTTATGCTGTCAGCTTGGGAAACAGATGGGAGCCCCTGGTGCCGGTGCAGCATAGGGTACCAATCCCGCACAATGTGGTGATAGTTATGATTGTGTATGCATGGCATTTGGAATGGTATGCTTGGATTGGCGCCATGCTGCTGGCATTTTAGGGCGCAGGCCGTTTGGGAGAAGTGTTGAAGTGTGCTCGTGAAGATCTAGTTTTACCTGGTGATGTGGTTGAAGCTGAAGGGACGCCGGTGTTCCTGAGGTTGAGAACTTTCAAATCAAGACTGAGACAGCCGGCAAAGGTACAGCACGTGAAAGAAATAGATGCTACTGCTTCGTCCTGTTGTCCAAGATCTTCACTCACACTCCTCTGGATTCGCCCTTGTTTGGCGTGAGCCCATACCAATACAGAAAGCGATGGGATCAACTGTTGAAGCTCCTCAAGGTTCCAACCTCTTTTTAGCTGACTCCGGGTGGCTTGCAAGGTGGCGCAGCCGCTTACCACTACAAGAATGGTAAAGAGATCAGTGACCTGCTATGGCTGCTGAGGCTTAGATCGCAGTCCACCCTGGAAAGCTACTTGCAGGAGGTTGCAGCCTTGAACCCACAGGAATGCACCTCTCTTGCTGCCAAGGCTTTTGCCTTCCTCCCTTACGGTTACTGCAAGCTAGCAGGGTAAATGACAAACGCAATTTTGTGACACACCACCGTGACCTGCAGACCGTCCCTGCAAGCAATGGTTGTGGCTACTGCAGCTTGTGCAACTTTTTGGACCTCTTTGTCTTCGGCCTCCTCTCTGCCTTTGACCTGGCGGTGGGCTGGTGGCACCTACGGCCGCTGCAGCAGCTGTCTCATACCTATGCAGGGCGATGGAGCTTGCATTGCCGTTGCAACTGTTGGCACTGAGATGTCGGAGTTTACATGTATATGTATATGTATATGTATACGTATGTATATAAATATATATGTATATATATATATTCATAGATATTTATATCATGCAATACACATCAAGATGCACACCGTATACCAAACTAAGTCAGGCGGAAACCGCGTGAATTGCACTCGTCAATCGAGTTTAGGTATGTTTAGGTTCTGGATTGCAATCGATTGTTCCAGGCAAAGGCTTTACGCTCAAGTTCTGGGTTGTTCTGGAAATTGCACGGGAAAGCCTTGAAGTTTCAGGTGACTTTTTGAGCAAAACCTTGTTCTCCTGCACTTTGTGAAACAGATGCGGGATGATCCAAGGGCTTTTGTTTCTCCCATTGAGATGTCACATGAATTCACATGAATTATCGTTGGCATTGAGGCTGCTGTCTGAAACACATCAAGCGTTGGGCGCGGGGCATGGCTTTGTGAAAAACTGGTGGAGGGCATTCGTGTGTTCTTCGTGTTGCGAGTAGGTAGAGTAGCACCAGGCAGTCGCGGTTGTGGTCCATGTCTAGCCTTTTAGTTGCCTCTACAAGAGCTCTTGCATGGTTCCACCTGTGCCAAATGGGTTTGTAGGGGTGGGTTCCTGCTCGTGAGCAGCAATGAGCAGCAATGAAGCAGCAATGAAGCAAACCGGTGCAGTCAAAGCGTTTCTTTGAACCAAAAGCCGATGTGGCTCGCGGCTGCTAGTGGCGATACGGATGGGCGCAATGCAGGACCCGGATGCCTGGATTGGCATTATATGAGGGATGGAGACTTCGTGCCTTCGTAAAGATTTCAAGTTGGAGTCGTAGAAACCGTCAGAAACCGTAGAGAGATGTAGAGAGTGGCAGAAGCCGTCGAAACCGTGAGGAGAAGGATTATCCGCAAGCCGAAGCTCGAAGAGTCTCTTGGACAACTTGGGTCAGATTCGGTCAGATGTTTAAGAGCAGTGCCTTTTACATGACTTAGTTTTAGTCAGACTTAGTTAGATTTTGTTGACTCATGGTGAGTCTGCTTCAACCTCTAGTTTTCCCAATGGTCTTCCAGTTGGGAGCGGTTCCAGTGTGCCCGGAATTGCCGCGAAGCACCAATGTACTCGCAGCTTTTCTCCCCATCTCATTGTAATCCATCACATGTCGCAGATGCTTACAAACACTCGTCATTTGTCCCTTTTGTCCCTTTTGTCCCTTTGAGGCCGCAGCAATTCAAAATCTTATTCGCATGCAGCAGGCTCTGGGTTTGTTGTGGTTGTCGGTGCTACGACGCTACGAGGACACAATGTCTTCTGGCAGTGAGAGTGACGTGGCATCAGGTGGCATGATGCGCCATGACGTGCCACATGTCTCAGACTCTCAGATTCGTCAGATCTCAGGCAGCTGGCGGAACAGTCCCGGGAGCCGAACTTTTGGCGTGACACCCAGAGGAAACGACTGAAATGTCAGGACGTCTACCTCTTGGGAGAAGGCCATTGGACCCATTTTTCAGTCATGTTTGGTCATGTCCATCTTTTGCATTGATCCAACGCACATGCAACCATAGCTGTTTGGGGTTCAAATATCCCCAAGAGAGCAGTGAAAGGAAAGGGCTTGAACGTTTCATCCCGTCTATTCTCCTTGCAGGAGCAGTGCTAGTTGCATTTTTGCAATGGGATGCAGAGTGTTTTATTATGTTTTATTTACCCGCGAGACTTCTACATCAGCCACCCTGAACGAGTTGAAGTGCCTGGTAAACTTTGTCCATTTTTGTCCATCTTTGTCTCCCGTAGCTGATGCAATTTGGCAGCTGACATGACGCCAGGCTGTGGTGCCACTGTCCCCCACAGCATCAGTAGATCAGTGGCAATAATTTTGCTCGGCAGATGACTTGATCTTTCATATCTTTCCCAGAAAGCGATAGCCTCACTGCCTGTACTTGTCTTCAAAGGAGCAGATAGGACAGGGCAACTTATGTTCTTTGAAGGTGTTAGGGTGCTTCTGTGCTGTTTTGATAGAAGGCCTTACCTGATCTTACCTGCAGCCTTTGCTCCTGATTTTCGCGACAACTGGCGAATGTAAAGGTGTGTTGCCTCCAGTTGAGATACGAAAGCAGCGAGTCGTATTTGTGTGACTTCTGCTATTTGAGACATGTCCCATGATGTGCCATCTTGCGGGATGCAAGTGACATTTTTGCATCTTTGAGCATTGTGACTCATTGTGCTTCGTTCAGCATGGTCTTGTGGCCAGATTGCGCTGGCCTTGTGATATGCGGCAGTTGCGATTTGCCTGGCCCGAGGCAAACTGTCACATTTTCAAAGGGGCCGTAGTTCATCGTAGTTCTCGACAGTTTCCGGATTATCTCCAACTTTATTTTGCAGTCACTGCGGTCACTTACATAGATTTGCATCAAGACTTGGGGTCATCTATGTTACATGTTGCATGGCCGCAACGCGTCATCGTTTTTTAGGGGCAGTGAACCGGAATTAGCAGTTCTTGTGACATCTTGTGACACTTGTGTGGTAGGTTCTCATATGGCATGGATCAAAGCGGCGAAGGACGTGCTTGGAAACTTTGCCGGGAAGCAACTCTGAAGCCATCCAAGTGGTCACGCGCAACAAGCGATCAAGCAAAATGCATCAAAATGAAGCTTTACAACTCAGCACTTTGACTCACTTTGACTCACTCACTTTGATTGGTTTGGCTGCTTAGTGCTCTGAACTGGAGAGAAGTACCGAGGCGATCTTGGTGCTTCAAGTCCTTGCAAGGGGAAGCGAAGACGGCGCGACCGCACCAGGACTGGCACAAGTCTCTGGACTGTCCGACCTGTTCGAATGCTGAAAGTTTCGGGGAGCATCGGGGAGTGTCAGGAGGGGAGTGTCCATTGGATCGCAGGAGTTTCGTGGACATTTTGAGGACTTCACAACTTTCATTGCTTTTCGTCTTTTCGTTCTTCATTTTGGCAAGGAGAAGAAGCTGTTGGCTTTGAGCCCACTGAATGTCTCTACAGATTCAGATTGGGACTTGGAGTTTGACCATGGGTAGACCGGGTAGAGGTATACAGTATGACAGCAATTGACAGATTTGACAGGTGGCGGCAGTGGAAAGAACACATCCAGCACCATCCAGTATTCTTTGATCGTGGCTTTCGAGCGTGGCTTTGATTCTTTGCTTTCCGTATTACACCGTATTCTTGTGCCTTTTTCATCCTTTTTCAGGTTCGGTCCAACACCAAGAACGAGGTTAGAAGCTGCGGACTAAGTTGCGCAAGAAAGAGAGAGAGAGAGAGGGGCACACAGCGACTTGATGCCCAGAGAGATAAGTAATCATGAAAGAGGGCCATAGGAAAGATGTACTGTAATTAGTTTGGAGAGCAATCACAGATAATAGATAACTGAGAGAACAATTGAATACAATCAATAGAGAATCGGAATAATTATAAGATATCATATCTTATCTTATCTCAATGAATTCTACAATTCAAATGGAAATCTTTGGTCAAATGAGTTGCGCCGTCGTGCAGCGAGGCCAAAGGGCTCTCAAGACCTGGCGTGCCGCTCTTTGCTTGGCGACTTCCAAGTTGCAGCCTAAGGCACATGAGGCACGTGAGGCACGTGAGGCACGTGAGGCACGTGTGAGGCACGTGAGGCACGTGTGAGGCACGTGAGGCACGTGAGGCACGTGAGGCACGTGAGGCACGTGAGGCACGTGAGACGCGTGAGGCGCGTGAGGCGCGTGAGGCACGTGAGGCACGTGAGGCACGTGAGGCACGTGAGGCACGTGAGACGCGTGAGGCACGTGAGGCACGTGAGGCACGTGAGATCCGAAGCACGTGAGGCACGTGAGGCACGTGAGGCACCTGATCCGAAGCACGTGAGGCACCTGATCCGAAGCACGTGAGGCACCTGATCCGAAGCACGTGAGGCACGTGATCCGAAGCACGTGAGGCACGTGAGGCACGAGGCACGTGAGGCACATGAGGCACGTGAGGCACGTGAGGCACATGAGGCACGTGAGGCACGTGAAGCACGTGAGGCACGTGAGGCATGTGAGGCACGTGAGGCATGTGAGGCACGTGAGGCACGTGAGGCACGTGAGGCACGTGAGGCACGAGGCACGTGAGGCACGTGAGGCACGTGAGGCACGTGAAGCACGTGAGGCATGTGAGGCACGTGAGGCACGTGAGGCACGTGAGGCACGTGCAGGCACGGAGGCACGTGAGGCACGGAGGCACGTGAGGCACGTGTGAGGCACGTGCGAGGCACGTGTGAGGCACGTGAGGCACGTGTGAGGCACGTGTGAGGCACGTGAGGCACGTGTGAGGCACGTGAGGGACGTGAGGCACGTGAGGCACGTGAGGCACGTGAGGCACGTGAGGCGCGTGAGGCACGTGAGGCACTTGAGGCAAGGTGATGTCCTAAGGGTCCTATAAGGGATGTCCTGAGTGTAGATTGACTTCGATTGACTTAGGCTATATTTCGGCTATCGCCCCAATCCCGGTCCATGTTGAGCCGCACTCAGCTCATCCAATTTAAGGACCAACATCATCTCCTGCAACACTGCCATCAGCAGCTGTACCCAAGGTGACCTAGATGGGTTGTGGGTTGAGTTGGGAGACAAATTGCATAGATTTGCAATTGGGCAGATGGATTTTGCATGGTACGTTAGACGTCATTAGACGTCATTAGACGTTCACGTTCACCTGGCCAAGCCTTTGGAGCCGGCACGAGGATCGAGGGCTCAAAGTGCCCCAGGATCACGTTGTGCAGAAAATGACATGGTGACACGACTCACCCGACTCACCCGACTCATGACAATATTCACAACGCACGAGAACACTCTTGCTCTCTCAAGTCGTGACTTATGCAATATTTCTCAAGGATTTCTCATACCATTTGCAGGCATACTGGCGAACGACGCACCAAATAAAGGATGCATGATGATGCATGATGATGCATGATGATGCATGTATTGTATTGTATTGTGCCAAGTGTTTCGTCAGCTGATGCCCAGCTGTGGCCCAGCTATGGCAGCTATGGCAGAGGGAGGCATTGAAGGACTCCCAGAATTTGAATGCGACGCGAATGACGGAGCTGACGGAGCTGACGGAGCTGACGGAGCTGACGGAGCTGACGGAGCTGACGGAGCTGACGGAGCTGACGGAGCTGACGACGATGAAATGAGAGCTGCCCTGGGCGGCGTTGCTTCTGGCCTAGCTGAACAATTGACGACCATCACTCAAGAGATGAACAAAATTCGAGAGGAGCTCTATGGAGACAATGGCATTGGAGGGATTGCCCAGGAACTCGAAAAGTTAAAGTCTGGAAGCCTCAATGGAATGGGTGGCTTGGGTGGCTTGGGTGGCTTGCTGGAGGATCCGGACTTGGCAGGCATGGGTGACATGGGTGACATGGGTGACATGGGTGAAGCAGCTAAGCAATTTGCGCATCCCAGCGCAGAAGGCAGTGAAGGCCGTGAATGGCGTGAAGGACTCAGAAGCAGACCGAAAGCATCAAATGGTGCTGGAATGCAAGGCAGACCTCCACCATTGGACAAAGAGAGGAAATTGGAGGAGCTGAGGCGAAAAATTGAACGCCGACACCTGATGGAGGAGAAAAAAAGCAAAGACAAGGAAAAGGCAGGTTTCTTGGAGTGGCTCGTCATCATTTTCGTGATCTTCATGATGGTCTACACGGCATCGTCTTCTTTCCGCAGCCAGGTCAAGCAATTCTTCGGTGAGGTCGTCTTTGGTGAAGCGTCTGAAGACAGTGACTTTGGAGCCCTCGTGGAAGAAGATCCTGACTCCTACTTTTAAGATCTTTAAGATGATCGTTTTAGATCGTTTAAGATGCAGTCAGGATGCGTCTAGCATTCCCTTCTGTCATTAGCTCTGCAGGAATTGAATTTGTGCTTGAACATCCTGGCAGAAAACAGGGCGTCTGCAAGACCAGTAGAAACCAATCAAATTGCCTTGTGATACTGAATTGATTTGAATTGGCTGGAAGTGATGCTTATATAGATAATATCAAATTGTGAAAGGGTGGTGCAAGGGTACGTGCTAGAAGATGCTGAGACATAGCCTTGTGCAGACGTTGGCGTATGCAAGCCGCTCAGCGCAGGCAGAAATTGGCAGCTGTCGCTGTGGCTTTTTGCAACGATGCCAGAAATGGCCCTGTCTCCAAATGAGACAAGATGCTTCGTTGCAATTGGCTGCCAAATGCTGCCAATAGGACCACTTATATAATGTAGAAACGCCTACTGGCTTACTGATGTCATTCAAAAATGCGTAACATGCATGTGTAAAGATCCAGGAGTTCGCCCATGGCTCGAGTGCAAGGCTTCAACATGGCGATCCATGCCTGCGCTACTTCTCGGCAGTGGCAGCTAGCAGCATCTTGAACTGAACTCTGAAAGTGCACAGATTTCTCGGGCGAATCATTTCGATGGTTATTCGGGTGTCAGCCACCCCGCAGCCCTGCATAGCCTGGACGTGCCTGGACCAAGGTGGCCCTCTTGGAATCGATGCGGTTCGATCGGCTCGACTGCTGTGCTATCAGTGTAGCTGCAGCGATGTTGCTTGGCTTCTCTGTGTGCGTATCCAACTTCAATTTGCACTTCTGATGCTTGTCAATGCATGTCAATGCATGTCAATGCATGTCAATGCATGTCAATGCATGTCAATGTGCACTGCACAAGACATGATGTTGCAAAGGTCCGCATGTGAGAGGGCTTTTCGGTGGCAAGCGGCGCTCAGCATTTTTGGCTTCTGAGCTTGCAATCAGTGGGATGAAGAGAATTTGTAGCTTTCATATCAAGAGAGGTCGCTTTCACGTCATTTTCATTTGCTGGAGCTGTTTCGGGTCCAAACTATAGGGTCACGGAGTCACTAGTCTCTTCATTTGGCAAGATGTTCATAGCATTTCACAGCGATGTGTCAAGAGACATGTGCTGGTGTTTTTCTTCATTCTGCGTCTCTTTTCATGAGTGAGAACGAGTGGATACAGGTTAAGACGGATAACACTGTGTACTGGGGCGACGCCACCAGGTCAAATTGGATCTTGGAATGTTGCAGCCGACCTGATCGTCTTTGCCACTGCAATTGCTGCAGTTGAGAAATGTTCGAGGCAGGCGAAAGAATTATAAGAGAGACTTAAAACATCTTGAAACCAAGAATTTTTGGAAAAGATCTAAGCGAAAAGCACTAAAGGCGACAGATGTGTGCACAAAGGTCAGACATTCTCTGGTCACAGAGGAGAACCTTCTGCCGACTCCATGCAATTTGTCGCCTTCGGTCGCCCCTTCAGGTGGCTAGCTGCCCTGGACCTGATCAAGGCAGCTGCCCAGGCTCCACCACTGTTTCGTAAACAACTAGCCGTAACATGCCGTAACAGTTACTGTAACATGCGGTAACTAACCAAAATGAACACAAATTCATACACTGTAATTTGATGGCAGCAAGCTTTTGCTTGTGGTTGAATGTACTGACTAGAGTTCTCAGGCAGCCCTTCAGCCAGATGTCATTTGCTTCAATGCTGCTATCAGTGCATGTGGGAAGAGTGGAGAATGGCAAGCAGCACTCGCTCTACTGGCAAGAATGTGGGGGCTGCCCATCAAACAGCCGAGGGTCAAGCAAATGCATTTGCGAATTGCAGCAAGTTTATGCAAGTTTGTTGTTTAGCCAAGCAATGCCAAGCGTGAAAGACTTGACTGTGATGTGGATGGGGGTTTGATGTGCGCAGGGAATCCCCGGATCAAATCAGCTACAATGCTGCCCTAGCAGCCGTGAGCAAAGGCCTCGAGACATGAGCCACGCAGCAGGGACATTGGTGACCCCTGGTGACCTTGTCGCATGTCATGCAGCAGTAAATCACATGCATTGAGCTCGGCGCGGCTTGGCGCTTCAGGTGGGCTCTGGCCGCTTGCAATTGGGATTCTGCAACGTTCGAAGTGCTTTAATTGCAAAAAGTATCAGAAAGTCCTCTCAAAATCAAGGTCAGCTGGATGCTGTGGGTATTGAACGTGCCTTTCCAAGATCTTTGAATGCCTCATTGAATGCCATCAGTTGAGACATTGCACAGATGCCTGTGGTTGAATGACCCTGAGGACAGATGTTGTTGCGTTCAGTGCAGCCATCACTTCGTGCGTCAGGGAAGGCAGTTTACTTTCAATCTTGCTCGTGATAGGCCAAAAGCTTTGGAAAAAAGCACTTGCTTATCTTGCTGGCGCATTGCTGAAAATGTGATATCCGGTATCCTTATGTATCCTTGAGATGCTGAGCCCAATGCGAGGTGAGTGGCAGCAAGTACTTTGTTTGCTGAATGAGATGCAGATTGCGAAGATTGCCCTCAACACGAGGACCGTCAACGAAGTCATGGCGTCCTTTGCCAAGGCCGAAGGGCCGAAGGGCCGAAGGACCAAAGGATCAGTTGGGTGTTTTGTGAAGTTCTACAGTTGGGTGTTTGGGGTTCAGAGAAGTGGACGGTCTGCAGTCCCAATGAGGTGGCGAAATGGCAGTGGGCAAGTCTGATCCTGGAAATTTTGCAGGTTCCGAATTTGATTAGTGCTTTGGCTTCACACAATGTTCTGATTTGACAGCTTTAGTGTGTTTTAGTATGTTTCAGTTAGTTGATGCGATCTGCACAGAATCCTTCCGTGAACCGAGGTCAGAAAATGGCATCTACTGTGCACGAAAGAGCTGGCCAACGCAGCCCAGAGTCTGTGAGGCCTTTCGGAGGAGATCTGTGTCCCGACGTGTGTTCCAACACGTGTCCACTTCAAGGGTTCTGAAGGATCTGAACGGTGCTCAGTTAGGCCGGTTGGGCCAGTTAGGCATTGAGCTGAGCCGAGCTCCATCGAGCTCCTCTAAGCTCCTTCTGCCGAGGAGAGCACCTAGTGTTCAGATCTCAGGTCCCTTGGCACAGCTTGGCACAGCATGGCACAGCTTGGCACAGCATGGCGCAGCGTAACTAGTTCACCACGACCGCTTGTCACAGCCTTTGATTTGTGGACAATTGATGACAATTGATGACAATTGTGGATATGTTGAAGTTAATTAAACTCGTCTTGAGCTTCTGTTGCTTTTGAGATCGCGATGGAGAGAGAAACAGAGCGAGAGTGTGTGGAAATTTGTGGTCATTCTTTTTGCTGGTATCAATTGTTGAGCTTCGCACACCGGCGATGCGATAAGGGTTATGCTTGTACTTAGTGTCCGTGTTGGTTTCGATCATGCGCGCGAATGCGCGCGGACGCGCGCAGCAGACCTGGAAGGCCAAAAGCACGGCACGGTATTTGCGCTGTTTTGTGCACTTGGCATCAAAACCATGGTGTTTACATTGTTTTTTTGCACACCACCATCCAGAAACACTGGTATATAGAATGGGCTAGCGCCCGGGTGCCGCCGACCCCCTCTTCTTTGTGGGGGGCGGTCACCGCAGCCATTTCAGCAGCAAGCCTCCAAGCAGCGCGACGGGTCTCGGAGAATCGAAAGGCGCATGAAGTGGGCGTTTGGCACCTGTGGCAACGAAATGAAGGTGGTTCTTGGACGCCCATAAGAAGCCATTGATGTCGCCTTGGGGTGCCTGTTGGCTGCGGGATTAGGCATGCCAAGAGGATGTTTAAGTGTTTGGAGGGTTTGAAGCGTGTAACGCCTTGCGAACGGCAGGCTGGACCGCTGAGAAGAAGCCATGGATGTGGCCTGGGGGTAGCTTTTGCCTGCGCGGTTGGGCGTTCCAAGAGTGTTTGCAAAGTTTTAAGGGTTTTAAGCCTTTTAAGCGTTGAAGGCCTGGCAAACGGCAGGCTTGGACACCCATTAGAAGCCATGAAGGGTTTAAAGTGTGTAACGCCTTGCGAACGGCAGGCTGGACCGCCCAGAAGAAGCCATGGATGTGGCCTTGGGTTAGCTTTTGCCTGCGCGGTTGGGCGTTCCGAGAAGCGTTTGCAAAGTTTTAAGGGTTTTAAGCCTTTTAAGCGTTGAAGGCCTGGCAAACGGCAGGCTTGGACACCCATAAGAAGCCATTGATGTCGCCTTGGGGTGCCTGTTGGCTGCGGGATTAGGCATGCCAAGAGGATGTTTAAGCGTTTGGAGGGTTTGAAGCGTGTAACGCCTCGCGAACGGCAGGCTGGACCGCTGAGAAGAAGCCATGGATGTGGCCTTGGGGTGGCTTGCTTGACCGGCAAGAAGCCATTGATGTGGCCGTGGGGCTTTTGCGCGCGGGGTTGGGCGTGCAACGCCCTAACAAGAGAGGGCTGTGGAGGCAAACGGCAGGCTGATCGAATCTGCCGCGAAGCATTGAGGCATTTGAAGCTAAGAAAGACAAGTTCCACACCTGCGGTGGTCCCAGGCGCCGCCCCTGCCTTGGCCAAGGCCGGGGTCGGCGGATACGCAGTTTTGAGCATGTGGCGACAAGATTTGTTTTTCCTCATGCCCAATTTACGCCAAACAAGACAAGGTTTTTGTTCCCTGAGCACAGCCAATTTTTTTTCGAAACATTGTCCAAAAACGGAGGCTCCAAACTCCCAAACCCCCATCCAACTGAAGGATCTGGGGAAGGATCTGGGGAAGGGTCGGCTGCAGGGACGCCATTGACGATTTATATAAAGGCTTACGCCTCACAGCCGGCCACCGGCCAGGGAGGGGGAAGGGGTTAGGCCATGTTGAGGGGGCGGTGTCTCGCTTGTGACTCCAAAACCTGTTCGCTTGTGACTCCAAAAGCATAATCATAATTATCATAATCATGAATCATCATGAATCATCATGAAGGATCATGAATCATCATGAATCATCATGAATCATCATGAATCATCATGAATCATCATGAACCGTCATGAATCGTCATGAATCGTCATGAATCATCATGAATCATCATGAATCATCATGAATCATCATGAATCATCATGAGTCATCATGAGTCATCATGAAACATCATGAATCATCATGAATCATCATGAATCATCATGAATCATCATGAATCGTCATGAATCATCATGAGTCATCATGAGTCATCATGAGTCATCATGAATCATCATGAATCATCATGAATCATCATGAATCATCATGAATCATCATGAATCGTCATGAATCATCATGAGTCATCATGAATCATCATGAATCATCATGATTCATCATGAATCATCATGAATCATCATGAATCATCATGAATCATCATGAATCATCATGGATCATCATGAATCATCATGAATCATCATGAATCATCATGAATCATCATGAATCATCATGAATCATCATGAATCATCATGAATCATCATGAATCATCATGAATCATCATGAATCATCATGAATCATCATGAATCATCATCATCATCATCATCATCATCGCCGTCATCCTAATCAGCATCAGCATCAGCATTAGCATCATCATCATCGCCATCATCATCATCATCATCATCATCATCATCACCATTTCGACATCAGCGTCAACATCGGGAAGGTGAGGGCGTTGAGGTTCTTGCTGTCTTGCTGCCTTGTGGGCTTCTTTGTGGACTCCATCTTCTGCGGTGTCCCTGTCTTGTCTGGCTGGCTCAAAATCTCATAGATAGCGTGGCATCATGTCGGCGTGCAAGTACAACAGAAGATTTCATGGCACATCGTATGTGTGGAAATCAAAGAGGAAATTTCAGAGCGTTAGGATTATAGCCCCTGTGCCTAGAGCCAAAGGACGTTATCACACCCTACCCCACCGCACCCCCAGGCCAGAGCCAGAAGAAGATCTGGTAGCGTGGCAGCGTAGCATATGTGTGGAAGCGCAAGAGAAGATCTCATAGCGTTAGGATATAGTCCCTGTGCCTAGAGCCAAAGGACGTTATCACACCCCACCCCACACCACCCCCAGGCCAGAGCCAGAAGATCTGACAGCGTGGCATCATGTCGGTGTGCAAGTACAAGAGAAGATCTCATAGCGTAGCATATGTGTGGAGAAGATCTCATAGCGTTAGGATATAGTCCCTGTGCCTCGACATCCGGCTGGTAGCGCTTAACGTTGCTTTCTGACGCTGCAAGAAGCCAGCTCCAAAGCTAGCCCTGGCCTCGAAAGCGCTAGGCCAGCCAGTTCCAAGCACCAAGAAAGTAAAGGCCGGACAGGGTCATTCGACATACGGCTGGCGGTGCCCAACATCGGTTTCTGACGCTGCAAGAAACTAGATCCAAAGGTAGCGGCCGGGCCTCGAAAACGCTGGGCCCTTCGCTAGGCCCGCCTGTTCCAAACACCATCAAAGTGACAGGTTTTCCCTTGTAGCTTGCTTTCTTCTTACGACTGCTTCATTCTCTTTCCACTTGCTTTCTTCGTCCAGATCTCGCTTTCTATATTGCTTGCTCTTGCAGCTGGTTTGCTTCTTTCGTCTGCTTCTCTTGCTTGCTATCTTGCTGGCTTTTCTCCTTTCGTCTACTTCTTTCACTTGCCTCTTGCTTCTTCCTGCTTGCAACCTGCTTACTGCTCTTGCGTCTGCTTCTCTTGCCTGCTGTCTTGCGATCTTTTCTTCTTTCGTCTGCTTCTTTGTCCTTCTGCTTGCTTTCTTCTTCCACATCTTGCTTACTATCTTGCTTGCTCTTGCAGCTGCCTTTCTTCTTCCATCTGCTTTTCCTCTTGCCTCTTGCTTATTCTTGCTATTTCTAGCTCCTTCTTGCACTCCATGCCTTCAACCATTTTCGTTCTTCCTCTTCACTGAAACTCTCCATCTGGCATTGCTTCTCTGGCGCACTTCCCCTGGTTCCCTGGGGTCGGCGGATTGATCAATCGATATAAAGTACGAATATCTGTATGTATGTATATATAATATATTGTATATATAGAGAAGATGTATGAATGTTTGTGCATGTGTGTGTGTATATATATATATGCTGTAGATATGCCCGTTTATGCAGGTGCAGGACATTTGGATGTTTTAAACGGCTGCAGTGACTACTACAGGTGTTAAAGATGCTGCCCAGCTTGCACCGATTGCGTGTGGTAGAATCTTTGCTACATCAATGAGTCAGATGAGCTTTACATGAGTTACACGATTGATAATTGATAAGTGGGTTTCTTTAGGTTTGTAGTTGCATGTGTACATTGTTATCAGGTTGATCACAAAAAGTCCCATTTTGCACCCTTGATTCATCTTGATTCTTTCAATTCGGGTGAGCACTGGGGTGTAGCGGTGTGCCGATCCAAGGACCTCGCTGGATTGGATGTGATTTGGCAGTCCGAGATTCGGGACATCATCGCGCAAAAGAGCGCATGGAGACGAAAAAACTGGTCCGAAGCGCCCTAGACAGCTTAGGCATTATGCTGCGTTATGCATTTGATACACAAAGACAAAAGAGACATCATTCCCCACCTGCCAGGCGAGGGTCTCTAGATTTTATTAGAATTGCAGCCCGCCACCCCCCCTCCTCGCCTTGACCGAGCTCCAGCTCTCAGCGGGCAGTGTCCATGTCAGCGAGAATGTCAGATAGGATGCCAGAAAAAATGCCAGAATAGATGCCAGGTAGAATGTCAGAAAATATGTCAGAATATATGTCAGATAGATGCCAGATAGATTGCCAGATAGAAGGTCAGCATATATGTCGGATAGAATGTCGCGTGGTGGGGTCACTCGAAGAAATCAATTTTCTTGAAAATCTTTTGTGCATCCTGATCCTTTCAGCGCACTCCCGTGTATCACTGCCCTCTTGTAAGTGCCTGCTCTTAGTTTCCCTGCCATTGACCCCGGATAAATGCTGGAGGTTGGATGTCGGATGTAGTATCTTTCGTATTCATGTCATGTGTCACGTTTTTCCTTTGCTATTCCTGGCCTGGCAAAAACTGAGAAACGTACCGCTTTTGAAATCTGTTGAAACATCTTGCCGTAGACATTGCTTCATTTTGAGACACTTAGAATCACTGAAGGCCCCTGTGCTCGCCCAGAAAGCAGCATGCAGCATTCAAGGCAGAAGTTGAGACCCGGACGTCGGGGAACAAGGTATTTGAAGGATGCCAATGCTTTGCACTAACAACGAGATGCCAGGAACAAATCTGCTGATGGCGCTGGAGAGAGAGAGAGAGAGAACACATGCTGTTAGCCGCACCCCCATACATCAACGGCCCTGGGTTTTGAAACGCTTGCGCCAGGTACCTCGCGACTCACAGCAAAGGACATGAAGCGCACTGAAATAGACATCGCGAAGAACAGTGAGGTGGGGTGGCTTGATCAACCTTACACAATTTGGACACAATTTGACATTTGGAACATGGCAGGGTAGCCAAAGAGGCCATGCCCCAGAAGCAAGGCACAGTTGTTCGGACCGACAGTTTGTGGCGCATTGGATGTCTTCAATTCTAAGCTGGCAAATTTTGTCTATTTAGGAGCGTGAAAAAGATAGAAGAGAAAATCATCATCACAATAGACAGGGAAACTGCAATTTTTTTCCCTTTGAACCCCCTGCTCCTACAGTCAACTTGGGCTTGCTCAAAAAGTTTGAAGTCAAATGCTGGCCTGGTAGCACAGTTTTTGCTGCGCAGCGCTTTGGCACAAGCTCGGGCTCATGAAAGCTTTGCCCTGCTGGCGTTGCCAAAACCCTCCCAGCAACTTGGTTGAATCTGCGCTACCACTCTGCAAGCGTCAGATCCCCCCACGCCAAACTCAGGTGACCATGGATGGCGGATTAGGTGATGGTGCCTGTGGAGTGCCCATAGGCGCCTGCGCATGAAACCTTTGGCTGCTTTCTTTCCAGTCTGAAAAAAAAATCCGCTTGCTGTGCCTCAGTGCCTGTTTGCCATACTGTTGAGTCACATCAAATGCACGCAGAGACACTGGTGCAGACACTGTGGCAGCCATTTTTCTTTGCTGTTCGCTCCGCCTGAGGCTCTGAGAACCCACCCATGATGAGCTGCAAAGGAAACGGCAAAGGAATGGGAATGGGAAACGGTTGTGGGATGGGGCCCATGTGTGGTGGCATGGGAGGGATGGGTGGCATGGGCATGGGTGGAATGGGCATGGGTGGGATGACCATGGGTGGAGGAGGCATGGGTTGGAATGGGTGGAGGAGGAATGGGTGGAGGTGGAATGGGTGGAGGTGGAATGGGTGGAGGTGGAATGGGTGGAGGAGGAATGGGTGGAGGCATGGGAAACGGTGGAATGCCCGGAAGTATGCCCAACATGGGCAACATGGGCGGCATGGGTGGAAACATGGGTGGAAGCATGGGAGGGAACATGGGAGGGAACATGGGAGGCATGGGCATGGGGGGTAACATGATGGGGAACGCCATGATGAACAATATGGGAGGGAACATGAGTGGCAACATGGCCAGTGGCAACATGGCCAGTGGCAACATGGCCAGTGGCAACATGGGCGGCAACATGGCCGGGAACATGCCGGGCAACATGGCCGCGAACATGGGCAACAACATGGGCAACAACATGGGCAACAACATGGGAAATGGCATGGGAAATGGCATGATGGGAATGAGCGGCATGAATCCCATGATGGCAACAGCCTCAGGCATTCGGCAGCGCCATCGGTCGTTGCATCAGGTTGCAACAAATGTGCATATCATCATCAGGTTGAACTCTCCGGAGGGTATATATCCTTGACATTCATACGTTCCTTCAGGTTGAATTTTGTTTGCCTCAGATGGGCCTTAGATGATGATATGTGGCATGTACTGCAGATCCGAGAGACCAAGGCCATGATGGGAATGATGATGGGCATGCAGGCTGCAATGCAGGGCAGTGAAGCCACTGATGATGCAACCCCAGCCATCAAGTCCGAAGACAAGCATGCAACTTGTCCCAACTTTTTCGCACAATGATTCACCGTGGCAACAAACTTGTGCATTTGGACATGGTGTTATTGTTTTTTCCTTGTATATTTTTTCTTGAAATATGAAAATTGTTGCGGCTCGCTCTGATGTTTGAAGAACAACCTGTGCGTTACCCGCTGTGCAGCTGCTGAGATTGATCCTCGGGTCAAAGCAATCTGCAACGATTTCGGCATCAGTGGCGACACTGTGATGAAGCAGCTGAACTGCATCATGAGCTGCATCATGCTGTGTGCTCGCCATCGGAGCACTTGCAAGTGTAACAGTGCAACGTGAAAGTGTAGAATGAGATGAATCAGCCAGACGGACGTAGACGGCCCTAACCGTGGCAGATGTGGCAGGTTGAATGATGCCATGAGGGAACGTGAAGACTACGACGAGGATCTTCAGGCCCTTCACAAACTCATGGAGCGTGCCACGAAGGACTCCCGATCCCACTGCAAGGATCCACATCTGCCAGCTCATGAAGGTATGAAATGGATTGAAATGGTATGAATTTCATTGAGGTTACAAGATTCGACATGTAAATCGGCCGCCAAATGCCGTCACGCATTGTTGCACATAATGGGTTAGATGTGTAGAGAAACGGGTGTTTATCTGTGCCATTAGTATAGCATATATATATACATACATACATATATATATATATATTTGACATCTCTTGAGCACATCTATGCGTTTATGCATGTACGCACACATACGTACCTACCTACCGACCCTCCTACCCATCCACCCATCCACCCATCTATCCATTTATCGATCTATCTATTGATCTATCTATCATTTGTCTACCTATCCATCTATCCATCCATCGATCCAATCGATCCATCTATCTATCTTATTTTGCCTTATCTTTTCCTATCCCATCCCCTAGGAGCCTATCCTATTGTATCTGATCCTGTAGTATACAGTATACAGTATATACATCTTATCTGATGGTATCACATCCTGTACCATCTGATCTTATCCTAAGTATCTTTTCTTATCTTACCTTATCCTATCCGACAAGATCCCATCATATTCTTTACATTTTATCTGATCTTGCTATCATACCCTATCCCGTGTTATCTTATCTTATCTGACCTTATCCTTTCTGACAGGGTCCTATCCTATCCCATTTTATATACTTATCGTACCTGATCTTTTTTCCTACATATTTTCTAATTCCATTTAACTATAATCATGTGTCAGGACCTTGTCTGGGATTCTTTGTTCTCACTTGTTTTTGTGTATGATAAAATGGTAAGTGATATAATTACTTTGGCACTATGCAGTCATTGTTTGAAGGAGATGTCAAGTTTTGAGCAAACAAATCGCAGGACGGCAAGAAGCCGCTCGAAGTGATGCTTGCGCAGATTCGGGCAATCCGTGCAAATCGATTTCCCGGAAAGGAGCCCACTGGGGATGGTGAGGTCTTTGTGAGGCTAAGGCCCTTAGGCCCTTAGCAACTCTTCATTTATTACATTTTATTACATCCTAGTGACCTGGTAGTATGGTGTTTGCTTCCGCTTTGACTGGTTCACCTGACTTTGTTGCAAGGAGTTGCTCGATCCAGACATTTGGGAGTTCATTGTCAAGTACAATCTTGATGACCGTGTAATGAACCGGTTAATTGAGACGCTCAACAATCGAAAAGGAAAGGCCAAGGACACTTTGCAGGTGCGACAATTCTTGGTCTAAGCCACCCTCTTTTGAAGCTTCACTGCCGAGCAAATCCTGACTTCCATCTTCTTCCTTTAGGCAAGAACTTGCTATTTCTGAATGTCAATTTTTGCGGCAGGCCCTGAATGACCGCTTGGGGAATGCCCAGCAGCCAACCGGCCTTGGGCTCTTGGTATCATTCCCAGATCGGCCCTTCTTGAGGTCACTTTGTTCCGCAGTGTATTATTTGTATCTAATTCATTCTATTTCATTCTATTTCAGAAACTATTTCATTCTATTTGTCTCTTTCTCAGCCTTAGAAGATCAGACGTATGGCCCATATGGCGATGCGCCTGCAATTCCTTGGTCAGTCCACAAGTGCGAATACTACATCTACATCTTTCTACTTGGTCTTACCCGACCTCTCGGCCGTAAGGTTAGGCTGCTCGAAGGCCTAGATGAGTTTGCCACTCAGAAAAACTCTAATAATGATGCAGTAGATGAATGTAGATGATACAGTACTGTAAACCGTAAACCGTAAGCCAATGTAAATCATGTGATAAATTCCTGATGTGCAGCAATGGGCTCATCCATTTTTTTCTGGGGGGAATGCTCTTAAAGCATTCAGGCTCATGAGACATGATCACTCCTCACCGCTTGGAGCAGACATGTTGAAACCAACACTGACTTGGAATAACAGGACTGGAAGATTACCGTCTCCGCCAAGACGCCTGGGCGGTTCAGGCACTTTCAGTGCGAACCTAAGTGCGATGCAGGGTGGCAAGTGAGTTTGGACCGTTTGGGGTACCTCGTTACAGGTCGTTACAGGTGAGCTGTCTTTGTTGTTCGCGGCGTTTTTTATGCAGTGCGTGCATCATGAAAGATGAGGACCGACTGGAACGTTCTTGCACCCGGTTGCGGGGCACTCTCCTCAGCAATTCCAAGACGTGAGTGTTCAAACGGTTTTTCAAACGGGGATTCGGGGATGTTGTCACGTTGTGACAAGCGGTCCAAAGAAGAGGAGTCCTGAACCTCCAGTCCCTTCGTGGCTTTGCGACTACTATTGATGCTATTGCTATCTATCATTATCTATCGCTATCTATTGCTATCTATTGCTAATAGTCGGGTAGTTGCAATCTTGGATTAATGATAGAAGGCATAATGGAACGCAGAGGCTAAGGCTGCATAGGCCATATCGCAATATATCACAATTGAGCAGACACTTGTTCTTGAAAGCCATGTCTAAGGCGTGAAGGTCGGGAAAGAGAGCAGGAGAGAAGCCTGAAACTCAGTGGAGCATGTCCTACAGTGACTTTTTGCAGTGCTAGTGCTATCTAGTGCTGCTAGTTGTCTGAATATGGCTTTGAGATGCGGCACAAGAGTTCACGTATTTTTTGTGTCAATGCTTGCTGGACTCCTGGACGATATCCACACCTTGAGCTTCAGTTTTCGCACCTGCACTTAGATTCTGTGCAGATGCTGTAGTTTCCTTCATTTTGCTCCACCATTCTTGGTGACAATGGATGCCAAGCATTTGGACGTGTACGGACATGAGTAACATGAATAATCAAAAAGATCAGTTGCCTTGAAACAAGCAGAGTGCCGCGCAAAAAAGTTACAAAACAATTCACGTGCACGAGCCGGGCGTCAGGCGATCAATTTTTTTCTTTTGCTACATTTCGCTGCAATCCCGTGTGTGCTCTAGCTGACTCTAGCTATTCTTGGTATGACTATCATCACCCATGTTTCACTGAAGAAACGTGTGAGAATGGAAATTGCAAGCACCAGTGCGCCTATGCAAGTAGGTTAGCAAAGTGAGATGATGAAGTGAGTCTAAAAAGTCTGTACAGAAACAGATAAAAGCTAGACATGGAGGTGAAAAGAGACACAGCGCCTTGTGACAAGGATTCACAATTAAAGAATCAGATGAATTTGAAACCCGTGAGTCGGGAGACCATTTGATTTGTGGATAAGATGGGTATCCATGCAGCTGGTTACGTCTTTACTTGTAGCGTGTATCTATATCATTCCATATCTAGATTGTCTAGCTTGGCTAGAATTCATTTGAATCCAAATGAATCTAGTTGATTTACGTTGATTTGCCTAATTTGTCTATGATCCTCCGGAGTGAAAGCCACGACCAAGGTAGAGGACGCCAGTCTGAGCGGCGTTCCCGCTCTCGGGGTCGCGATGCCCGACGATCACGCTCGCGGCGTCGATCATGAAATAGACGGAATGAAAAGTGCACAGCAAACCTTGGTTAATCTTGGTTGCTTCAAATTTGCTTCAAATTTATTTCATGTTTCAGCAAATATGCAATTGTTGTCTCATGTTGCCTGTGCACAGTGCTGTTTATCTTGAGAAGTGCCTTCGCATCCTTTGCAATTGACTAAGATCTTTTCCTGAGCACGCTGCGGGATACTTTGTCTTCAATGCTTTGGCCAGGAAATTCCTGGATCGCTCTGAAGAGCAACCGAACAACACTGAGGTGTGGAGCAGCATCTGGTGAAACTTACAGCATGGCTGAATAGTGGCTGAATAGTGGCTGAATAGTGGGTGAATAGTGGGTGAATAGTGGGTGAATAGTGGGTGAATAGTGGGTGAATAGTTGTACGTAGTTTTATCGTACCATGATTTGCCAAGCTGAGTCACCGCTGTGCGTCAGAGCCGCAAGAGAGCTTCACATTAGCGGCAAACTGTGCCCGTCCCGTTTGTCCTGCCTCAATGCATTTTCTGTTTTTGGACATGGCAGGAGGCTGTGGCTGTGCAAGCTGCGCAAGCTGTGCAAGCTGTGCAAGCTGAAGAAAGACCCGGAATAGTTGGACCTCGAGGCGAGAAGCTTCAGCGCCTCAGCGGTGCCAAGATGTGCCAAGTGTGGGCAACGCATAGCAAGTGGATTTCACACAGAGGCCAAGCAGTGCCCGAGTCTTTGCATGTCTTTGCAGGTTATGCACTAACTTCGAGGTCGAACATGGTGCTGAGACAACGGGAGGCCGTGAACAAAGGTTCACAAGGATGCTTTCTGCGATTTTCTGTAACACATTGGTTCTTGCATTGTTCTTGCCAAAGTGTCCAGACAGCAACAATAATAACAATTTGAGACTGCAGGACATGGTGCAGAGCCCCAACACTTGCAACCGGGATGTGCACCGCTCTTCGGCATCAAAATAAAGCACCAAAGACCACTGCCTGGAGTAACTAGAAGAATGCAAGCCTAGGGTGATATAGTATTCACGTGTATTCACACATGTTTCATATGTTTCATGATACTGGTATGTTTATTGTGTTGTAATACGTTCTCATGTGAGTGACGCAGTTCCCGGCTAGTATTTTGGCTTGTTTGCTTCACTGTGCTTCGCTGCATCTCCGTTGATGTTTTCTCTCCGTGGCTGTTGGTTCAAGCTTCTTCCCGGCTTAGTGACCTCGGCACAATGCCTCGGCAGCAAAGACCTCAGATGAAACATGATGAAACATTATATAAATTGTATACGGTATCACTGTGAGATGGCTCGCTATTCGGCTGTGGCATGTGTTCACATGTGTTGTGGTGTTGGAACACATGCAACAATCTAAAAGAATCTCAAAGAACTATTGAAATTATTGAAACATGTTGAGACTCTGGCAGGGGATGGACACTGAGTCGCACCAAAGCAGGAAATTGAAAGGATGTGTCGGATGTGTCATGAATATCCGACAGGATGTGTTTCTACGTTTGCTGTGCTGAGGTACAGACTGTCAACAGCCTCGGCTTACAGCATCTATGAACTGTTCCCCGTCTCTGGTTTTGTTTGCATCTTTTCCTAGCAGCTACCCAGCACCTGCTAGGCATTGCGGCACTTGTGTCTTTGCGATGCAAGGTACTCCCAGGATTGGTGCGAGGACATTTCGGAATGAGCCTCAGATTTGGGCACCTCATAACAAAGACCAGGACTTGGGACACACCAAGAAATCTCCAAGGTACAGGTAGCTTGGACTGCTTGGATTTTTTTTCAGTTTTTGCCCGTGCCCGTCATTAATTTTCACGGTGGAACTGAGATGAACTGAGGCTCCTCCAATGGATGAGTCCCATGAGTGATGCTCCTAAATGCTTGTTATGCTTTTCGTTCTGGTGTGGAGAGGTCTGCCAAAGAGAACATGACCGCACTGGAATGATCTCAAATATACTCAAATAAGATCAAAGATGGACATAAGCCGACATGGGCTATGGCGGCTATGGGAAGTCATGAGAAATCTGGATCCTGGATCCAGTGTCCGGTAGGTTAGCGTTGCCGCATCCTGGGCTCAGGTGGTAGTGTAGTGGAAAGCGACCCCATCGGGTGGGGAGTTCCCGGGCGGTTCATGCTTGACCTGCCAAGTAGCCTAAAAGTAGGATTTTACCTCAGCTGATTTGAACCGTAACGCCAGGCTTCTAGCACATCTCCATCCAACTCACATGTGACCCACATGTAACAAGCAATTAGAAGGACCAGGCAATAGCTGGCACATAATTTGCATTTGCCGGCGATGATGGCGTTCCGCCAGTGAAAGGAGCACAAGTTGTTGGCTCAGTGCGGAGAGCCCTTTGAACATGGCCTGCCAAAGAGCGCACAGACTCAAAATTCACCAAGATCACCTAGGTGGAGGATCGTTTGATGGCTTTATTGTCGTCTTCATGCCCACCAGGAGAACAACTCACGTGACACTTGCATACACTTGCAATATGTGTTGATGTGTGCCCATTGATCATCAGTACATTTGTAGGCGTAAATTTCCCTCTCAGCATTTTGGGCATCAATGGCTGGAGAACAGAAGGGTTGTGCCTTAGCATTGGTCAAATGCTCTGAGACTGTGAGACAGTGGGTGGCCGACAATTCAGGGCTGCGAACTTGATGACGCTTCAGCCCATTGACACCACTTCCAGGCAGTGCTTTTGAGCGCGAGTTCAAATGCCATCAGCCCACGCTCTCCCACATCCTGATACGAATTTGAACTTGTATTGTCATCCGGGAGGCCACGATTCGATATTTCAGTGCCTGGTCAGGCGACTGCTATGACACCTCTTGCGCTTTGCCACTCTTGGGCTTCATTTGCTTGCTTTTACGATCTTTTATATACGTGTGAATACGCTGTGAACCTTCAAACAAAATCACGAAAGCCAGCCGCTAGGCTAGGCGAAGTTTTTTTTTGCGAACAAAGTGAGTTTAGGGGGTTTGGGGGCAGAACGTTCCTAACGGCCACTAAATCACGAAATTAGGTGGTAAAAAAGGCGGACGCAGGTGAACTTTTTTAGGGTTATGTACCAGGTGGCAATTGGGTAACGGTGGGGTATCGATTCCCCCCTGGTCCGTCCTCCGATCTGGACTTGGTCAGATTGCAATGGAGGGGAAAATGATGAGAAAAACAATGGAAAAATGAGGGAATATTACGTAAAACAATGGGAAAACAATGGACAATTTGAGTAGAACGCTTGGAAAATTGATTAAAACGCGAGGAAAAACAGTGGAAACAATGGGGAGAAGGTAAAATGATGCCAAGTAAAATTGAGGCTCCGATGTGGGACCATTATCGCCTAAAGCACGCGTGAAACAATGGAAAAGCAATGGAAAAATTGCGGTTTCGATGTGTGACCACTATGTCACTATGGAGTAGAAGCACGGAAATAAAACCATGGAAGAAACGAGCAAAACCGTTTATACGGTGCAACGGTAGGGATTGTGGGAGGTGCATTTGGGTAAGCGTTAGACACACTGAGATAATAGAAGGGTAATGATGGAGAAATCGAGTAACACCATGGCAAAACACTGGAAAAATTGATGAAATGGAAGGATAAATTGATAGCGTAAACTATGGGACGATTGAGTAAAACTGGAGGAACAACTGTGAAAAAAACACTGGGGAGACTGGAATGGAGGGGAACATGATGTCGAGTAAAACTATGGAAAAGCAATGGAAAAAAACTGTGGCTTCGATGTGAGACCATTAGCGATGGGAAAGCAATGGAAAAATCGAGGGACTATGATGAAGAAGTGGAGTAAAACAATGGAAAAAACAATGGAAAAATTGCGGCTCTGATGTGGGACCAAAATGATGCCAAGTAAAACAAGAGTAAAATGATGGAAATTGATGGGATGGAACAACAATGGAAAAATTGAGGCTCCGATGTGGGACCATTATCGCGTAAAGAAAGCGTGAAACAATGGAAAAGCAATGGAAAAAATGCGGTTTCGATGTGTGACCACTATGGAGTAGAAGCATGGAAATAAAACCGTGAAATAAAACCACGGAAAACTATGGTTCCTACTTCTGCACCTTTCAGCTTCGCCCGCTGCACCGAGACAAAAACTCGTGCGTTCCTGGCACCACCTCTCCTCGATCTACTCTGTTTCCCGCATCCTCCCTCTTCCTCTCCTTCTTCTTCGCACCCACCTTCGCCCTCCCCTGGCTTTCGTTCCTCCCTTCTCAGGTCAATCTGAACCTACTTCAATCTCTATACAATATATTGATCAATGGATGTTCCTGCACGAGACGTGCATCGACGTTGCCTGCGACACGCGTAGCAATATTTTGCATTGGTTTGATCTTGGTTGACCATCGTGAGTTCGATATAGTTCGATGAATCTATGGAAAGTATTGATTTGCCAAACAGAATTTCCTTGCTGTGTTTTTAATCTCTGCCAGTTCTTTCGCCAAACAGGTCCCCACTACAGAGGAATTAGGAGAGGATGGTGTTGGGGAGCGTGAGGCCTGATCTGAAGCCAGAAAATCAAATGGAAAAAAATGTGAACACGGTGAACACTGTGAACGTTGTGAACATTTCTTAAATGACTGCACTGTCCTGACGCTGCCATCCAGCGATATTCAGCGTCATTCAGCAAACTGGTTGTGCCCAGTTCTGGTTTCTTCATGCCTCCAGTGTCATCCGTATGTAAGTACCATCTCCACATCAACGGTCCGCAGATTGACCTCTGCAGTGACCCAGCACCAGTTTTTTGGAACTTGCCTTAAGTTGCATCAGTCATTCTTCCTGGCTTTGTTGCTGTGAATTTCCCCCTGCCATGGCATGCGCTGTCGCTGTGGTGTGGGTCCGTGGCATCTCGTTCCGGCCGCTATCTTGGCCATTCTCATCTTATACCAAAACTTCATCGCAGCAGAGCGGTGGAGCACAAGCCGCAACCTTGGCATACATCGCTTGAAGCTGAATTTGCTACAATTGTTTCAAACATTTCAAAATATTTCAAATCTGTTGACATGTTTTAACCATTTTTAACATCTTCCAACATGTTCCAACTGCATTTTATCGCCAGCAGCTTGATTTGCAGTATAGTGCCCCAGTACTGGCCAGGTGGAGAGAGGCTTGGGGCCCAAGGGGCGCTTGGGGTTGAGGAGCCGGAGAAGGTCTTGAGCTCCACCGAAGGCAGGTAGCTCATGGTAGCACTGTAGCGGCCAGGAGCTGAAGCAGCGGCTCGAAAAGCTCGAAGCACAGAGCAAGGACCAAAACAGCAACAAAAGGCGATAAAAAGATGACAGAAGAAGAGAGTGAGAGAGAGAGAGAGAGACAGAAGATGACGCAAATTGTGACACAAAGGACAAAGATCCTCAGCGAGTCCTTTTGTCTGCTGTCATCTTCTGTCATCTTCTCTCTTGGAAGTTTTGCAAAAGTTCTATTCTGCAATGTGCCATAATGTGCTTGAGCAGGATGTTGAAGACTTGAGGCAAGACGTTGAAGACTTGAGGCGCAAAGTCAGGGTAGGATTTCATTTTAAGATTCAGAAACCATGCTGCGACACTAAACCTCAGCGCAGAGCCAAGCACCGTGTTCGCTTCTTTGTTTGGCTTACTCAAGTTTAGTTTAGTTGTCTACCTGGTTTACCTTATTTGGCTTTGCTTGTGTTCCGCTTCTGCGCTTACAGCAACCAGTGTGAGCTACTTACTGCCGGTATGCTATGAGGGATTCCAACTCTCAAGGAAAAAATGGTTGAGATTTGCAAGCTGCGGTCTATAATGAACCTATCCATCCATCCATCCAGCCACCCTCCTCCCCTCTCTATACCGAAAGAAGTTTGGCCTCAGAGTTCCTTTATGTTCCTTTGATCTTGGGAGGCATTCACTGAGCAAACTTGACGTGGCAAAGAATGCTTTGCCCCAGGCAGTGAGTTGGATGTCAAGGGGCGGGGGTTCGCTTAGGGCGTAAATTTATGTAAATGTTGGCTCGCTTGGGGCGAAAAGTGGAGACATCGCCGCCGTGTAGGGCTCAGCGCAAGAGCCAGGAAGTTTTGCGGCGTGCCACAGTGCAACTGTGCAGGGCGTGTCTCGTTCACTTCATTCTGTGATGCCTTAACTTTTCACGCCGTATCTAAAAGCAACTGTGCTCTTCGTGTCTCGTTGAGTTCATGTCTGATTTGTTGACCTAATATACAGCGCATCTAAATGCAACTGTGCTGGGCGTGATTCGGTACCTGGATGTTTTGGTTCGTTCCCTGATTACGCGCATCTCGGTCTGCGGTCGGGTGCCTAGTATGTGTGTTCGCACGGTCACGGATGATGTTGCGCGTATGGGGTATGACAGAATGCAATAGTATATGTCAGTTGGAATGCTAATTGGAAGGTGAGATAGAATGCGACAATGTTGTATGTCAGATAGGATGTCCAAGGTGGGGATTAACATATCTAAAGGTGTCGCGGCTCTTCTTACATTAAGTGCAACTGCAAGAACATATAAACCCTAAAGGTGCCGTGGCCCTTCTTACATTAAGTGCAACAACATATAAAGCCCAAAGAAGTCGTGGCCCTTCTTACATTAAGTGCAACAAGATATAAACCCTAAAGGTGCCGTGGCTCTTCTTACATCAAGTGCATAAACCCTAAAGGTGTCGTGGCTCTTCTTACATTAAGTGCAACAACATATAAACCCCAAAGGCGTCGTGGCCCTCCATATAAACCCTAAAGGTGTCGTGGCTCTTCTTACATTAAGTGCAACAACATACAAACCCCAAACGCATCGTGGCCCTTCTTACATTAAGTGCAACAACATATAAACCCTGAAGGTGTCGTGGCTCTTCTTAAATTAAGTGCAAGGACATATAAACCCTAAAGGTGTCGTAGCTCTTCTTACATTAAGTGTGACAACATATAAACCCTAAAGGTGTCGTGGCCCTTCTTCCATTAAGTGTAACAACATATAAACGCCAAAGGTGTCGTGGCTCTTCTTACATCAAGTGCAACAAGATATAAACCCTAAAGGCATCGTGGCTCTTCGTACATTAAGTGCAACAACATATAAATCCTAAAGGTCTCGTGGCTCTTCTTACATCAAGTGCAAGAACATATAAACCTAAAGGTGCTGTGGCTCTTCTTACATTAAGTGCAAGAACATAAAAAACCCTACAGGTGTCGTGGCTCTTCTTACATGAAGTGCAAGAACATATAAACCCTAAAGGTGTCGTGGCCCTTCTTACATTAAGTGCAAGAACATATAAAGCCTAAAGGTGTCGTGGCTCTTCTTACTTTAAGCGCAACAACATACAAACTCTAAAGGTGTCGTGGCTCTTCTTACTTTAAGCGCAACAACATACAAACTCTAAAGGTGTCGTGGCTCTTCTTACTTTAAGTGTAACAACATATAAACCCTAAAGGTGTCGTGGCTCTTCTTGCATGAAGTTCAACAACATATAAACCCTGAAGGTGTCGTGGCTCTTCTTACATTAAGTGCAACAACATATAAACCCCAAAGGTGTCGTGGCCCTCCATATAAACCCTAAAGGGGTCGTGGCTCTTCTTACATTAAGTGCAACAACATACAAACCCCAAACGCATCGTGGCCCTTCTTACATTAAGTGCAACAACATATAAACCCTGAAGGTGTCGTGGCTCTTCTTAAATTAAGTGCAAGGACATATAAACCCTAAAGGTGTCGTAGCTCTTCTTACATTAAGTGTGACAACATATAAACCCTAAAGGTGTCGTGGCCCTTCTTCCATTAAGTGTAACAACATATAAACGCCAAAGGTGTCGTGGCTCCTCTTACATCAAGTGCAACAAGATATAAACCCTAAAGGCATCGTGGCTCTTCGTACATTAAGTGCAACAACATATAAATCCTAAAGGTCTCGTGGCTCTTCTTACATTTTTTTCCCCCCCCCAAACAGGATTTTGGCCAAGAAACATATAAACCTAAAGTGTGGGCTCTTCTTCAATTTAGAGCAAGACATAAAAAAACCCTAAAGTGTAGTGGCTCTTCTTACATGAGCTTGCTTAAGAAAACTATTAAACAATCTTAAGGTGTCGTGGCCCTCTTACGTTTTAAGTGCAAGAACTATAAAAGCCTAAAATGGGTTGGGCGTGGGGTCTTCTACTTTAAGCCAACAACATACAAAACTCTAAAGGTGCGTCGGCTCTTTCTTATTTAAGCGCAAACCAACATACAAACCCTAAAGGTGTCGTGGCTCTTCTTACTTTAAGTGTAACAACATATAAACCCTAAAGGTGTCGTGGCTCTTCTTGCATGAAGTTCAACAACATATAAACCCTGAAGGTGTCGTGGCTCTTCTTACATTAAGTGCAACAACATATAAACCCCAAAGGTGTCGTGGCCCTCCATATAAACCCTAAAGGGGTCGTGGCTCTTCTTACATTAAGTGCAACAACATACAAACCCCAAACGCATCGTGGCCCTTCTTACATTAAGTGCAACAACATATAAACCCTGAAGGTGTCGTGGCTCTTCTTAAATTAAGTGCAAGGACATATAAACCCTAAAGGTGTCGTAGCTCTTCTTACATTAAGTGTGACAACATATAAACCCTAAAGGTGTCGTGGCCCTTCTTCCATTAAGTGTAACAACATATAAACGCCAAAGGTGTCGTGGCTCCTCTTACATCAAGTGCAACAAGATATAAACCCTAAAGGCATCGTGGCTCTTCGTACATTAGCGCAAATAAGAACATAAAACTCTAAAGGCGTGTGGCTACTCTTACCATATCACTGCAAGAAAGAACATACAAACTCTAAAGGCTGTCGTGGGCTCTTCTTACATAAGTGCCAAGAAAAATAATAAAAGCCTAAAGGTGTCGTGGCTCTTCTTACTTTAAGCGCAACAACATACAAACTCTAAAGGTGTCGTGGCTCTTCTTACATCACGTGCAAGAACATATAAACCCTAAAGGTGTCGTGGCTCTCCTTACTTTAAGCGCAACAACATACAAACTCTAAAGGTGTCGTGGCTCTTCTTACATCACGTGCAAGAACATATAAACCTAAAGGTGTCGTGGCTCTTCTTACATTAAGTGCAAGAACATATAAACCCTAAAGGTGTCGTGGCTCTTCTTACTTTAAGCGCAACAACATACAAACTCTAAAGGTGTCGTGGCTCTTCTTACATCACGTGCAAGCACATATAAACCCTAAAGGTGTCGTGGCTCTTCTTACTTTAAGCGCAACAACATACAACCCTAAAGGTGTCGTGGCTCTTCTTACATCACGTGCAAGAACATATAAAGCCTAAAGGTGTCGTGGCTCTTCTTACTTTAAGCGCAAGAACATACAAACTCTAAAGGTGTCGTGGCTCTTCTTACTTTAAGCGCAACAACATACAAACTCTAAAGGTGTCGTGGCTCTTCTTACATCACGTGCAAGCACATATAAACCCTAAAGGTGTCGTGGCTCTTCTTACTTTAAGCGCAACAACATACAACCCTAAAGGTGTCGTGGCTCTTCTTACATCACGTGCAAGAACATATAAAGCCTAAAGGTGTCGTGGCTCTTCTTACTTTAAGCGCAAGAACATACAAACTCTAAAGGTGTCGTGGCTCTTCTTACATCACATGCAAGAACATATAAACCCTAAAGGTGTCGTGGCTCTTCTTACTTTAAGCGCAACAACATACAAACTCTAAAGGTGTCGTGGCTCTTCTTACATCACGTGCAAGAACATATAAACCCTAAAGGTGTCGTGGCTCTTCTTACATCACGTGCAAGAACATATAAACTCTAAAGGTGTCGTGGCTCTTCTTACATTAAGTGCAAGAACATATAAAGCCTAAAGGTGTCGTGGCTCTTCTTACTTTAAGCGCGACAACATACAAACTCTAAAGGTGTCGTGGCTCTTCTTACATTAAGTGCAAGCACATATAAACCCTAAAGGTGTCGTGGCTCTTCTTACTTTAAGCGCAACAACATATAAAGCCTAAAGGTGTCGTGGCTCTTCTTACTTTAAGCGCAAGAACATACAAACTCTAAAGGTGTCGTGGCTCTTCTTACATCACGTGCAAGAACATACAAACTCTAAAGGTGTCGTGGCTCTTCTTACATCACATGCAAGAACATATAAACCCTAAAGGTGTCGTGGCTCTTCTTACTTTAAGCGCAACAACATACAAACTCTAAAGGTGTCGTGGCTCTTCTTACATTAAGTGCAAGAACATATAAACCCTAAAGGTGTCGTGGCTCTTCTTACTTTAAGCGCAACAACATACAAACTCTAAAGGTGTCGTGGCTCTTCTTACATCACGTGCAAGAACATATAAACTCTAAAGGTGTCGTGGCTCTTCTTACTTTAAGCGCAAGAACATACAAACTCTAAAGGTGTCGTGGCTCTTCTTACATCACGTGCAAGCACATATAAACCCTAAAGG